GAAGTGAGAAGTGAAAGCAGTTGCTTTTTCTGAGAATGACTGACTGTTTTGATGAAGCAAGGAGTCCCCTTCCAGAGATGAGCAAGGCACTCCCCTCCTTTCTGTTTCTGACGAGGCTCTGGAAGGATTTAGAGGGTGAAAGGCTGCTTTATTTAATTATACATGCAAAGTTAATCTTCTCCACCTTCAGACTGGAAAGGTAGATAGTTTCCTCTTCCCACATATCAAACAGCAGCTGGAGATCTTCTTGTCTTGCTCCTGTTACAGTACCCTGGACTTTTTTATTAGAATCTTTATTCCATGATGTGCTAGAAAGTCGTAGAATCATAGAAAAATTTGGGTTGGAAAGGACCTAAAAGATCATCTAGTTTCAAACCCCCTGCCATGGTCAGGAACACCAATATTTAACCCTTTGTGGCACTATAATATTTTCCTTCTTTTGACTCTATTTCTTACAACTAAATCAGAGGAAAACCTGAATTCTTTGAACTCTGTGTTAGTGCCTCCCTGAAAGGGATCCTAAAAGGAGTATGAAAGGCTCACAAGAATCCTAAAGTGCTTTACCTTGACATTCCATAGGGTGAACATTTTTGGTGTAAAAAATTGGAAGCTAATAGCCTTAAATGCTTTCCTTTTTAAATGTAATTATTTGGGCTGCCCAACATTTGTTCTTGTAACCTGAATCCTGATCGTATCAGCAGTTTCCCCCGACGACAACAACAACTAACTCTAATGCTGAACTTCAAGGGCTTCAAGCTTTGCTTTGGGCCATGCTGTGTTTCACAAATATCTGATGAAATATTGATAACAAATTAATTGAGCCTCTGCCTTCTGCAAGTGAAGGAGAATTGGCCTCTGCTTCTGCAGCCCTGGAGGGTCACAGGTTTGTTTGTTGTTTCTACCTATGACTAAACCCCATAGAAGTCTACAAATATAAACAAACACCATGACAGATACATTCTTTACGAACAGGATTATCTGTAATAATTTTAGCTGGCTAACTTGTAGGCATTTAATCTGGGCTGTCCTTTCAGCTGCAGGTCTGTGTACACCTGAAGTGAAGCACCGTGCAGGGTACTCATCTGTCTCCTCTGTCTCCTTCTGCCCTGAGCTCAGGGAGCTCTCTTGGGTTCAGAATTCTGCTCTCAGACAGCAGCAGTGAGGCAAGACCCATCACACCCAGATCATCCAGAGTCATAGGGATCACTGCCAGTGGAAGATGGTGGTGTCTGAGAAAAGCTGCCCAGCAAGCAGCTCTGGGCTGTTGGGAGAAGGCCCTGCAGGATCTGCCTTTAAACACCTTCGTATTGATACAACCACAGTTGTATCAATAAATCTCTTGTGCTGAGATTGGTTTCCTTGGGCTTCACTGGAAAACTCGGTTTCCAGGAAGATAAAACGCTTCATTTATAGATGTGTTACTGAATTTTGGTAACCCCTAAAAGTAAAACCCTTAAATGAATCACTTAATAAGGCCCATGGGAGAGAAAAAAATTTATGGTAGATAGATGTGATCTGGATTTACAAGTAATTCAGCTTTTACGGTCTGTATTTCTCAAACTATTATCAGGAATCATGGTCTAACCCAATCCAGATGCACACTAAAAACATTGGGGAGGAAAATCCTATTAAAAAGAAATGTTCTGGCATGTTTCAAGGGCCCAGGCCACGTTCCAGTGATTCAGTTCAGCTGGTCCCCACTGGTACTGGGTGCCCTGTGGATTGGACCCCAGCCAGCTTTGGGGCGCAGCATCCCTCCCTCACGTTTTGGAACAGTGACCATGTCTGGATGTGGTTCTGGGACTCGCTGTGTCTCTCCAGGGCTGGAGCAGCAGGCAGTGTGGGCAGGTGGCTGAAGCTGAGCTTGCTGCCCTGTGCAGGAGAGCTGGAGCTGGGCCTGAAACTGTGAAACCACGCAGGGCTCTCGAGGCGGGCGCCCGCAGCGCAGCCTCTCTCGCCACCCCAGGCTTCCTCTGCCTCGGCTCCTGGCCTCTCACCACTGGCTTTTTCTCACTTGCTTGTCCACAGCAGCTCTGAATCGCCTTTTTTAACTTTTTCTTTCTCTTTTTTTCTTCACCCATGCTTCAGAAAGTAAAAGGCCACAGGGGGTTGTTGGCAGAGGTGCTCTGGGGAGATGCCAGCCTGGTGTCCAGATGTGGGAGTGCAGGACCTGCAGTAGCAGGAGAGAATGCCCAGGCACTGAGGAGAGCAGGGCTGCATGGCTGGGTGGGAGCAGAGAAAAGGGGGAACAAAAGTCCAGGCTTTGGAAGGAGGAGGTGCTGGGAAGAAACTTCTCAGGAGCAGAAGCACAGCTGCTGACAGAGCTGCAGGTGTAGGGAATTGGGATTGAGGAGGGCTGGAAACCTGAGCACTGCTCTGCTCAGTGACTGACTCCTCTCAGTTCTGGTATGTGAGTATTGGAAAGGCACTGTGCAATTCCCAGTAGGCAGTGGGTAACCTGTGAGGTTAGCAGAGTAGGAATCATCAGTGAAATATTTGCTATTTGTGCTTTGCTATTTGTTTACTGTTTGTGCTTTGCTCTGTGTGAGGCAGCTGAGCGTGATTGCTCTGCCCAGCTCCCATCATCAGCTCATCTGCTGTGACCTTGGCCTCAGCCCCCAGACCATGGCTGACAAAGTGCATTTTGGTGGTGCCTAAGGGACTGGCCTTCTCCAGCCCCCAGACCATGGCTGACGAGGGACAGAAAGTGCATTTTGGTGGTGCCTAAGGGACTGGCCTTCTGTTTTGAAGAGGCAATAACCCCTCCTCTGGCGATTTAAAAGCTTGAACTGCTCCTGTTCACCTGAACGGATGGTAACTGCTCCAACTGCCACTTGTTCATTGTGCTTCCTATCTCTTTGACCTTTCTTTCAACAGGCTTTGTACCTTCTGTCTTTTTCTCTCTTTCTAATTCAGAGCCCTGTTTCAAATGTTATTATTTAGAAAATGCTTTGTACATTTTGCTTTGGTTAAGAATACAGAAATCAAATGTATTAAGGAAGGAAATAACATGAACAGATAAGACAAGGGGAAGTAGCTTCAAGCTGCGCCAGCTTCAAGGTTGGAAAGGATGAGGAAAATTTTCTGCACTGTAAGAGTGGTTAAGCATTGAAACAGGGTCCCAAGGGAAATGGTGGAGTCACCATCCCTGGAAGTGTTCAGAAAATCAATAGATGTGTCACTTCACAATATGGTTTAGTGGGCATGGTGGTATTTGGCTGAAGGCTCAACTTGATGATATTGGAGGTCTTTCCCCACCCTAATAATTCTATTCATTTTATTGGGTTTTTTCCTAAACATTGGACTTTTTCACAGTCTCAAAACGTGTTTTTCCAGGAACAACCACAGCCAGAGTAGCAGCCTTCCCTCACTGACCAGTTTAATCCATTACCTGGGATGCTGGAGGCCAGGCTGCCCCACTCTGCAGAGTCAGCCAAGGTTGACAATGGTTGGCACAGAGCCACAGCAAAATCCCCTGCACTCCTGACATCTCCTCCACAGTTCTCTGTGTCTCCTGCTTCTTCTCCTCCTGGTCTGGGGATTTTATTTGTGCTGGAGAAATATTGGACTTGAGATGATTGTATGAATGTGCCTGGCTTTGGTACAAGAAGAGAGGATTCAGGCCAGGACACCCAAAGAGTACCCAAAAATGCTGCCTTCAGCAGCATCTCGGATGCCTCCAGGCTGGTGTAAATATCGTCCTGTGAACTGTTTAGGAGAAAATCCCTGGGAAGGTAATCTCAGCTTGTTTGTTGGTTTTATATACAATGTTGGGTAAATAATGTAATCTCTCTGTCTCTGTTTGCCCCATATATATGAAATTTTATAGTCCTGAGGAAATGTGGTAAAGGGTATTTCTCATAAAGTGCTTGAACCATATTTTTTAAATGACAGAAAAAGAGAGGGAAGAAAGAAAATCATCTAGGATCTCAATTTATTTTAATGGATTTGTTTCTAAATGCATGATTTAGGGAAAAAAAATGAATGCAAGCTCCTAGTTCAGACAAACAAACAAATCTACTCTGTGGTATTTTTTCTGGGTGTGTGAGGCTGTCAGTGGGAACAGTGATTGTTTATCTTCATCAACGGGCTTTTCAGGTTATTGATAATTTTTGTCTTTCTCTTTTGAACTCCCTCCAAATCTGCACAAAGCACAACTCAAATTAATTTTAAGGCGTTTGTTTGGTTGGTTTTTTATATAACTGTGCAATACAGCTTTTCCTTGGGGATGGACCTGGAACTGCTTATTGGATCCACAGTTACTTAGCCTTTGATTTTTTTAGCTACATTTTGTGAACTTTCTACATCATTATTAACTGATACAGAAGCAGTTTTATCAGGTTTATCTGCTGAAACTCAACAATCTTAAGGTGTCCTGCTGGATGTGGTCTCCATCTGAAGAGATGGAGACTTCCTTTTTAGGAGAGTGTATAGATATTTAAATGGTGGCTGAAGAGATGGAGACTTCCTTTTTAGGAGTCACATGGAAAACATGAGTGGCAATGGGTTCAAGTTACTCTTACATCACTGAATGTGATGATGTCAATCTTTCTTTACATTTAATGCAGAATTAAGCCCTCCCCTAAAATTTTGTTCAAACAATGTATTTTCTCACTCTCACTTGATGAAGGAAGCCTTAACCAAGCCCAGTCATGAATCCCTGCAGGAGCTGCTGCTGTGTTTTCCCAGAAAATAAACATCCTGTGTTGGTTGGGGGAGCTTGCAAATGCTTCTGTCCATGGAGATTCTCTCAGCAGGCTGAGGTCCTGAACAGTCTGGTTTAACTGAACCTGTTTAGAGAGAAGGCTGAACTTGCCATGGTCCTTTCTGACCAGATTAATCCTATAATGCTTATATTCAGAATTCCATCTCCTTTGCCAAGGGGCAGTGTTGGCTATTATTTTTGCATGGAGTGCTGTGCAGCACTGTCACATTTATGCTGCCAAGCACCCAGTGACAAAAATGATTTGTTTGCTGATGTATCTGATCTTTTTGTGCAGATGCTGCATCAGTTCTTGGCCTCACAGATCCCAGGCTCTGCTACGTGCTGGATGGATTCCTCTTCATTTATGCAGTGATCATGACAGCCCTTTTTGTGAAGGCAAAGGTCAGTGCAACCCAACACAGATGCATTTGGATTTGGTGGTGTGAGGCAGTTGAGCTGGGTTGGAAAGTGGAGTGGAGGGGAACCATCTCTTAGAATGAGACTTTTTTATTCCTTTGCTTTCTTTCTATCTCTCTTTTTTCTTTTTTTTCCTCCTTTGTTTCTGGTGTCCACTTGAGCAACCTAAAGCAGTTCTTTCCAAAGAATGGAGGGGGGAATGAGTATATGAGAGTGTTTTGATGTTACACTTATGGATACATCAGATTCTGGATTTTGTAGATGGGGAGTGACTGGTCAAGAGTAATGTGGATTTTTTTTCTCCTGATTTGTCACTGGAAAGAGAGGAGGGGATACAGAGAAAATTCAGGGAAAATGGCAAGCTTGTGAAGGATGTATTAAAATGTCTCAACAATTCAGACATCTTTGATAGTATGAGTGTGATGATGCAAGAACCCAAACATCCACAGGAGAGGACTTGGGTATTTGCTACAAACATGATTCTATGCCTAATATAGACCGAGCTAGAAGTTACATTTAATAAAGAATTGAATGTGATAATAACTCAAAAAGAGTAAATCAATACAGAATATAGTTTGACAGGGTTTTTGTTTAAACACTACAACACAAATCAGCTGCTCTCATTGATCCAAGACTGCCCCTCTTTACCTGAAATTTTGGCTTAGCAATTGATTTCTTGTAAGCATTGTGAGCAGCTGAGCCAAAGAGTAGCTACAGAAGAGATAATCCTTTACCTCTTTGTTAGCTGCCACTCACATCAACTTATTGGGGTGGCACCAGAGCCCTGCAAGCCAAGTGCTGCTCCTGAGGGATGCAGGGATTCCCTGCAGGAAGCCAAATAACTTTGCAAGCAGCTGGAGAACCAAAGCCCCTGGGAGGCACGAGATTATAACAGGAAGGGAACGGAGAGAGGGCAGGTGTGTGGGGAACAAACACAGATGTTTGTGAGCTGGTGTTATGTGAAATAAAATGACTTGGCTGCTGAGGGCAGGCTGCTGTGTGGATAAAAGTGCTGCTGCAGCAGGGGTTTGCATTGCCTGTAGCCACACAGGGAGCTGTTTGTGGGTTGCTGTGCTTGGTCCAACGGGGGCTCCCGGGACGAGTAAGGAGATCTGAATCTTGACTCCATGTTTCCAAAGGCTGATTTATTATATTATGATATATATTATATTAAAATGATATACTAAAACTATACTAAAAGAATAGAGAGAAAAGGATTCATCAGAAGGCTGGAAAGAGCAGGAGAGGAATTAATAACAAGGCTCCTGACGCTGAGAGTCCGAGCCAGCTGACTGTGATTGGCCATTAATTAGAAACAACCAACATGCACCAGTCACAGCTGCACCTGTTGCATTCCACAACCGCAGATGGATGTTGTTTACATTTCTTTCCTGAGGCTCCTCAGGAGAAAAATCCTAGCAAAGGATTTTTCATAAAATATCATGGCTACAGGTTGCCCTGTTTCTGGTAAGAGTAATGGTAGGAGAGAGGGAATGGAAGGACTCAGGGGAGCCAGTGTGTCTCTGCTCATGGAATGGTCTCTCTTCCAGCTCAGCCAGGCCTCTGAACCACAGCTGCGAGCAGGCCAGGATGACGTGTACAACGTGAGTAACTCTGGTCTTTGTGTTCTGATCCACCACCCAGACAGAGCTTTTGGGGCACAGAGACAGTGAACTGCCTGCTGCTCAGAGCAGCTTTGGATGAGCCAGCTAACAAGTAGGCTGTAGATGTGAGCAGCATGGCAGCTGTAAGGAGGAAAGGTAAAACCTCACAGGGACAGCTTCTGCTGTCACCACTCTGGCCAGATGCTGGAGAGCTCTTTGGGCTGTTGGTTCCTGATCTGGCCCACTGAGTTCCAGGTTGGCAGGAGCCCAGGCTGTTTGTTGTGCTGCCCTGTGGAACAAACAGGCCTGTGAGAGCTCTGGGGGTGCAGCCACTGCCCCTGTTGCTGCTGCTGTTTGATGTGGGCTGGGCAAATGATCTGGCCCACTGAGTTCCTGGTTGGCAGGAGCCCAGGTTGTTTGTTGTGCTGCCCCATGGAACAAACAGGTCTGTGAGAGCTCTGGGGGTGTGTGCAGCCACTGCCCCCGTTGCTGCTGCTGTTTGATGTGGGCTGGGCAAATGCCAAGGAATGCTGGGGAGCTGACTGCACCTGCAGCCCTTCCACTCTCAAGTGTGTGGAGCCTGAGCCACCACAGCCCCTGTGCCTCCATTCCCGAGCTTTCCTGTTGCCCCACAGCAAGGCCTCTTGTACCAGATCATACCAGAGAAGTGTCTTGTCCTGTGCCCTGACCGTGGGCAGCATCTTTAGGCAGTGAAAGAGGACAAAGACAAGATCCTGCCTGAGCCTCCTCACTGAATTGCCCACTCATGGCAGCATTAAACTCTAACTATTTTTGCTATGTCTAGCTGTCTTTTAATTTTTTTTTCTCACGCTTTTGACCATAGCCACATCCTGTGATGAGTTCTGTTTAACTCTGTAAAGTCTGAACACTAATGCAATTTCTTTTCAGTTTAAGTGTAGCCCATCACTTTTCAAGTACTGTCACTCTGTCAGCTGTGTTATTTTGACCTGAAATCTCTCCTTTGCCCTTGTCCAAGGTAACCTTTTTCCAGCTAAGAATTGTGTTGGGCATAACATTTCTGTAGCTCCTTGATGCAAATTTAGATGAGCAGCTCTCCAAGAAAAATTAAGCTTGTGGGTCTTTGCTCTCCAGTGGAACAGAAAGCATGAAAGTCAGAGTCATGCTCTCTAGTTCTCAACTCATTTCCACTTAGGAAAGGTTTTTGATGCAACAGCTTGCAGTTTTGTGTCATTTCCATGGCTTAAATGCAGACATTGCTGTTGACAGTTGCATTAGGGAGCATAAAGAATTTCTAGTTCAGTGACAGTCCTTGTGAGCTGAGCTGGGTTCCCCTTCTTTTCTGAGTTAAGATCTATTATTATCTCATTATCACGGTGCCCACCCGGTGCTTTTGCTCTCCCTTTCAGAAGCTCTCCCGCGGGCACCGAGACGATTACGATGTGCTGGGAGGAAAGCGAGGAGCAGACCCCGAGCTGGGCGGGAGACACCAGGTAACCTCCACGCACATGTGCGCCTCTGCCCTTTGATCTGGGGCCTCCCACGCCGTGTCACGGCGCTGCTGGCACCGGCAGCCACCCCAGCGCCTTCCTGGGGAGGGCACGACGCGATTCGTGTCGTAGCCCGGGCGGCGCGGGGGGCAGCAGCGAAGCTCCCCCTGCCCTTTGATCTCTGTCCCCTGGCTGGGCCGGGAGCTCGCAGCCAGCCGGGGTGGGAAGTGACACCCGGGCGGATGCGGAGGAGGCCCGGCAGCCGTGGGTGTTTCACAGAGCTCGCTGCGTCTGATGCCATCAAACAAGCGCCCACAAAGCAGAGCAGCAGCCAAAACAACTCCTTCTGCTGCACAGCCCATCACTTTCAAAGGAAAAGGGAGGGAAAACCTCCTGCATCAGCAGGTGACAGCTGTAGTGGGGGAGAAGAGAAGAACCAAGTTTTACCAATTGCCAAAGTGAAATTAATTTTCCCCAGAACAAGTTGTCTGAACAGAGCCTTACAGGTGGAGGCAGGATGGACTGGAATGGGCAGGGAAAGTCCATAGAGCCCCAGCTGTGCCATGGAACAAATGCATAAGCACACACAAGGTGGTGGGGGCTGCTGGCAGTGCAATGTATGGGCAACTTTTTTCTTCTGTTTTACAGCAGAGAAGAAAGAACCCTCAGGACACTGTCTACACTGTGAGTAGAGCACTCTGGAGGGAGCAGAGAGGGAGGGAGGGATGGCTGGGAACAGGAGATTCTGTTTCACAGAGACTTTTCTCCCCGCAACCCAATTTCAGCTCTGGTTCAAAACTCAACAGCTGCTTTTTAAGACTTCTCTGTCCTTCCACCCAACTCTTCCCAGCAGACCCTCTGTTTTTGCTTGAAAATTTCTGCTCACTTCTGAGTGACAGGAGCAAAACACTGGGGAGATGTGGAAAAGAACTTGGCTCAAGATACCTGCTACTGCCTAATGCTAGTGACTACCCAGCCTTGATCCCATGTGATTGCTGCTGCAGTGTTTCCTGTGCATGGACTCCAGCCCCTGTGCCTGCTCTCTGGCAAAGGCCAAATACCAGTGCTGCTTGGGAACCTCTTGATAGAATTGATTTGATTCTGGCTAAATGTGGTGGTCTGTGCTCTGAAGCACAGATGCAGGAATATTAATTCTCATGTCTTAACTTGGGTCTTTCTGGGTCTTTGGTGCTTTCCAAGCTTTGGTCTTTCCAAGACCTTTACTGCTCTTGAACAAGACACTCTGAGTTCAGCTGGTTCTAAATGTGGCTACCCAGGGGCTGCCTTGCTTTTTCTGTTGTCACACTGACTCTTTCCCCCTCTCTGCCTGCAGTCACTGCAGAAGGACAAGATGGGTGAGGCATACAGTGAGATTGGAATGAAGGGAGAGGTGAGTCTTACTTTCCTTCCTGGTGAAAACACAGCAACAGAAAATATTTCAGCTTTTGGCCGGAAAATCCCTGACAGCTGCCCTGGCTGGGGGGCTGAGGACATGAGATGGGTGAGAACAGCTGAAGGAAGGTCTGGTGCCAAGTGCTGCAATGGTCCAGCAGCACTGGGAGATTTTGGGGCATGTTTCTCCACAGCAGTTTGGAGCTGCAGGTTTATGGTTTCCCCTCCACGGGCTGCTGAGACTGGCTGGTGTTCCAGGATCAGGAGAGCAGTGCCAGCCCCTCCTTGTGCCTGCCTTCAGACAGGGAACAGGGGAAATGTCCTCCTTCAAATGTTTAAGCAGGCACACATCACTCACATCTCCAGCTACAGCAGAGGGAGAATTTTTAGCTCTGTGCACAAACTGCTGGGGGAGGAGGGTTTGTGTCAGAAACAAACCATCTGGGGACGCTTGTTAATGGCAAAATGAAAAATTGCTCTGACCTACACAGGTTCTATTTTATGTCAAAGTGTCATATATATATATATAACCTTTCATTTCCTTCTGACACACAAAAAAGGGGCATTTCAAAAGAGTTTAGTGTTGAGAAATGCTGAAGCAACACCAACATTTAATCTCTTCCCCTTTTTTATTCTAATGCTCCTCTGCCAGAGTCAAGCTGTTTCTATGAGCTATGGGGCTATAAAGTTTCACTGTGTTTTTTGAATGTTTCTGTTTCTGGAGGGACAAGAGCACCAAAGCCCTTGTCCCATGCCAAATATATGATCATTTAATAGCTTGCTGCAACTTTAACTGTAACAAGCACTACTCCTTGACACATTTGTGATACAATCTAATACTAAATAATCAGTGTCTACAGAAATGCTGCCAAATCTCTATACATACAGTGAATCAAAGAAATAGCAACATTCTAACAGTATGACAGGAAAATATGTCAGCAAATGTAACCAATTTGTTTTTATTTCCTATCCCCTCTATTTTCTCCTGAACAGCCCTTGCAGCATGTCTGGGCTGGTCCAGACTTACCAGGTGCTTTCCTGTGCAGAGTCCAGGCCATGCACAGCTGGTACATCCTGTACACCCTCAGCACAGCATGGGGGAACTCAGGGGCTTCTTTCTTTTTGCATAATCATTAATCAGTCCATGCTTGTTTTATTTTCCCAAAGCAGCAGAGGCGGCGAGGCAAAGGCAATGAAGGTCTCTACCAGGTAGGCACCACCTCCCACGGCTGCTCCCTCACCTGTGGTGGGATATCCCATGGCACTGTCGGGGAGGCACGGAGAAGTGAAAGGAAGTTTCCCAAGCAGGCACCAGGTGTCACACTAACTCCTCCCTCCTGGAAGCCCCAGCTACCCCTGCTCTGGGATCCACACCACAGGGCACAGCTGCCTCACCCGAGCAGGCTGCCAGGGAAAGGACTGGGCATCACTGTCAGGCTGTCAGGGGATGCTTCCTGATGCACCTATTTCCCTTCCAAATCAAAGAGGAGAAGGCCAGAGAACAAAGTTCATGATTTGATGTCTGTTCATTTAATTATCGATGCTCATTCTAGCATCAGTTAGCTTTTAATAACACACAAACAAAATGTACTCCAAAGATCTGCAGAACCAGTTAGGATGATTTACTGTGGTCACATTTTCATAACCATTATTCAGGATGTACCTTGCCTTCAGGTAAGAGCTATTTGCACCACACGAAGACTAAAGAATCACTCAGGAGTAAAAACCTCTGTAGAGGAAAAAAGAAATCAGACTTACACTCCTGACTGAGCCCCTGCCATCCTGCTGCTGCCAGGAAGAAGGAAGCACTCACGCTCATCCCTCACCTGTTTCTCTGGTTTCTCTTTTTCAGGGGCTCAGTGCAGCAACCAAGGACACTTACGATGCTCTCCAAATGCAGCCTTTGCCCCCCCGCTAAGGGGGAGCCTCAGAGGGGATGGGCAGGAGTGAGAGATGCCCACCTGCCTTGGGGAGGAGAGGGGGAAAAGCCTTTTCCATCCAACACAAGCACTGTGTGTTTTCTGTGTGCAAGAGCCGCCATGGGCTGGTGCACAGAATCTGGACCTGGCCTTTTCCTTCTCTCCTCCTGAATTATGTAACTGCTTCTGCTGTTAGAATGTACATATCTGTAAAGTTGTGTCCAAATATAGTGGGTATTAGGCTGATTTTTTTTTTTTGGTCAGGTTTGTGTTGTTGGTACCAGACTATATCTTCTAACAAACACGGTTATTTCCATAGGTCTTCCTTGTCTTCCAGAGTATTAAGACATGGAATTATGGCTGTATTACATTTAAACAATTTGCAAAGATTTACTGTATTACTTCCTGTAGTATTTATCTTAAGACTATTTCACCCCTTTTTGCTTTAAATTTGCCTTTAAAAAACTGCTTCAGTGGAGGGCAACATTTTTCTTTAATTATAAAGAGTGACATGATGTTACAGTAGTGAAGCAGAGAGGCTGAATGCCAACTTTCCAGTAGGAAGAAAATGAGCACCAATATCCAAAAAGAGATCAAGCAACGGCACTGCCACTCATCCATAAATGTGAGCCAGGTAACCTGAGTGAGAGACTTCTTTGAAGGCAGAAAAACAAAGAAAACAAGGAGATGGGTTCCCCTATTATCATTTCCAGACAACAAACTGTACAAAAGCCAACATAAATGCAGTTTCCAAGCCAGTCTCTCATGAGGCTGCCTCTAAAAGGTGCAGGAATCATTCCAAGGAGGTACCAGTTCAATAATGCCATGTGTTTTTGATGAATGAATAAAATAGTGCCACAGTCCCATGTGTGTGTGTAGGGAGCAGCAGTGGGAATGACATGAGCTCCTTACCTGAGGCATTCAGCCCATCTGAACCAGCCTGCACCCAGCAGCACCATCTCCCAGGGAAGCTGAGGAGGACAGGATTCCAGCAGGAGCACCTACACATGTCCCAGAAGCTGGGATGGGCTGTTGGGAAAACGCCCCAAACCCAGATACCAAAGGGACACTCACCTCGTGCTGCTGCAGCCTCAGCTTTGCCCGTGCCTCACAAGGCTGCACAGGGAAGCCTGGAGGAATTCAGCAAGGACAAATCCAGCCCAGCAACATCAGGGGAGTTTCACCTCGACTCAGGAGCTGACCAAGCCATCTCACCATCCTCACAGAAGAAGCAGAGCTAAAGCAAGGCTGTGGGAACAAGAGCTGCTGCTCTGCTGGCCAAATGAGGTTATGTCTTCTTTCCAGGGACTGGGCGGGTTAGCAGCAGAAAAACTTGCTGAAATGGGTGCTATGCAAGTTCCAAGGCAGTTTTACTTCTTTAAGCAGTAAAACTGTACCTGCAGTAGGTGCTTGTAGCTTTTAAAGAATATTTGCAATAAATTAAAGCAAAAAAAAAGTAAACTGAGACATGGTAATGAATGCTTCTCACAAAAAAAAAAAATTCCTAGATCCTTTACTGTTCTCTGCAGTGACAAGAAAAATTGAGAGAACTGGGTGATAACTGAGACAGCTGAGCTGAAAATTACAGTAAAGTTATGCTGCAAAGCACTCGATTTTCAGCACACTTCTGCAAGAACAAAGAGTGCTGAAAACAGCTTTCTCTTTTTAAATCACCATAACTGTATCTGCAAGATGTAGAAGTCAGAAGCTTTGGCAGCATGAATGCCAACCACCAAACAACAGGAATTAAATTTTTTGGGGGAGGGAAAAATCACCTTTATGCTCTTTATGTATCAATGGATACCTTGACTTCAAAAAGCATCCAATGCTGGTTTTGGGGCCACTCACCGTGGGGTTGAGCTGAGTCTCCTCTTTGTCTTCAGGAAGCAACTGAAGCTGTTTCTGCTTTTGGGAGAGGAGCTGATAAATACAGAATTAGAACAAAAGCTTCAAGCAGAGTGCATAAAACCCGGGCTCTCCTCCAGTTTGACAAGACAAAAGGCACCAGAGATCAATCTTCTGGCCCAGTTTGATGCATAGAGGAAGGGGAAGCAGCCTCCCCTGACACATTTAAAAACTACAAACAAGTGCATACATGTTAAAACACTTGGAAAATGGTTTAATGATGTTTACAACAGAAATGAACTGTACAATTACAGTAAGTTTAATATATATAAAAAATTACAGCAGACAAATGCATCTACACAAAATCTACCTTTTCATTCTGATTTACTGTAATCTACACAATCTCTCAATGCCTACAGCTATCTGTAGGCAACCACTGGGAAAATAATAATAATAATAATATAATAATAATATAGGGCATCTTTAAAGAGACAGCATTTCGCCTTCCTCCTCACCCTTAGTGTGATCAGCAAGGTTTTGAAATGTGTGGGACTCTCACATTTCAGTCTCAAGAGAAGCTTGGGTTGCGTTTGGGTAGGGTACTCCCACAATGGCCCTTGATTTCAAGTGTTCTGCTGACCTCAAGTGTAGAAATGCAGTGTATGAGGAAGGCCAAGAGAAAAAAAAACCTCCCAGCCAGTGTAAGCAGGCAGTTGCACAGAGCAGTGAAACCATTAGGACCAAAAACTTGTCTTATTTAGAAAAAAAGCAAAAAAGGGACTGCCCAGACACTAGAGACATTCACAAATCCTCATTTCCTTGAAAATTATGTTCAGATTTAGAAGAAAGGGCTTGGTTTTCCACTCCCAATTCTTCATACAAAGGGGTAGTTTTCAAACTAACACGTTAAATACTTTTTTTAAAACAAAATTTAAGCTACTTCCTCTTTGGCCCACCCCTTAAAAACAGTGAAACCCCCTTTGCACTGAGAAAGAACCTCAGGTCAGTGGGGAAAACAAAAGAACATGCTGTCTCTTTAAAAAGAAAGAAAGAATCCCAGTTGGGAGCGGCCATCAGTGAAAATGCAATCCAAATTGGCGGTCTGGTGGAAATTCCTCACGGAATATTATGTACAGTTTAAAAACCCTTTGTAGTTGGTTTTTCTTTTATTATTATTTATGAACACCTAGGCAGTGAAAACCGTTATGTTAATACATACATAGACACACCCAAAACATACAAAAATACTATTATTTCAAACTACTAAGAATAGGACAAGTTCAGTTATCTCCATGCTATGACTTTAAGAGCATTACACTGAAACAAACAAGAATTTAAACGACAATTTTTTAATATCCCAGAAATATACCAAAATATACATCTAAGCTTTGGAATTACTGAGGTTAGACTAATGCAAGTGCTGGGTAATCGTACTTAATACACAAGTCTAAGGTTCTGCAGGAAAGAAATTATCTTTGGTATCTGCATCAGGCTAATAATATTAACATTTGGATTTTGCTTTGGGATAGAGCTTGTCTGACCCTAGAACCAAACACCCCCCAATCAACTGAGATTAAAAAGATCCATGTAAAAAGTTCCTCCATTTGCAATCCCCCCCAAAAGTTAAAAAGTCACAGGCATCTACCTAGCATAAAAGGTTGAGAAATACAATGCATAGTTGCACAGTGGTGCTGCAAAAATAAAAGAAATCTAGAAAAAAGGAACTAGAGGAGAAATGAAAAGCTGCTTCTTCTTCTTTCAGGGATTTCTCACAACAGGACAGCCTCTTCCAAGCAGTGAAGGGGGGGGAAGCTCAGAAGTGCACCTCAGCGTGTATTAATCAACATCACCCAGCCCCCAGAGGGTTAAAGCACCCAGCAGAGCAGCCAATCCTGCACCCAAGTCTTCAGCTCCTCAACCCACCTGCGAAGCCCCGGCTCCCTTCCCAGCCCTGTGCCCCGGATTGGATTTCACCCTGGGGCCGGGAGCTGCTGCCCGGGGCCTTCTGGAGCCCCGGGCCGGCCCCAGGCCAGCCCGGCCTCACAGGTGGGCTTGGTGCTGAAGACGCCCTTTGTCTTTGGTTTGTTTGTTTGTTTTGAGTTTATACAATCATTAGGAAATCTTTGGTTTTGGCTGGAAATTTTAAAAGAACAAAACAAAACAAAGAAACCGCCCCCTCCCGACTTATAGCAGCCACCGTGACCTGACAAAGCTTCTCTTTCCCATGGGGGTAGGGGAACTACATTCAAATAAAGATGGACCGGGTTAAGGATGCAGCTTCTGGCCAGTTGGGGAGTGGGGAAGGGATACAGGATTGTCAAATAATAAAGAAGAAAATTAAGTATTTGGAGATTTCTATTTTTTTTTCCTTTTTTTTTTCTTTTCTTTTTTGGTCATGTTAAAAAGTGAGTAGCATGTATGCAGCACTGGGCTGAGAGTGCCTCCAGGCCCTGGAGCTCAGCGTGGCTCTGGGGTGGGAAAAGGCAGCGTGGGTGGACCTTTTCCATGGAGAGTGGAGGGGAGGGGGTGGATATTCACAGACTAATCAAGAGGACCCCTTGTAACCAAAGGAAATAAGATAAGATTGCAATTTGCCCTCACTTTGCAGTAGCTTTTAAGCAGCGACATTCAGAGGCGTTAGGGGGTCACTCCCCAGGTTGCAGGTCACGGGGTGCTATAGGCCAGAGTTCAGTGTTAATCAAAGGAGGGAGGGCAGACTTGGCAACTCTGTGGGGTTTGGAGAAAGTTAAAGCAAGTTACTCAGTTACGAGTTAGAAATGAGGTATACGACAGCTCCTGTACCTGTGGCGGATAAACACCCCACACCTACTCACACCTAGCCTTAGATACTACCACAGAGGAAGGAAATGGAACAACGGCACTGGCGGGGACGAAGGAGCTCCTGCCCGGGCCCTGGGCACACAGGGGGCACACGGGGGGCACGCGGGGCCGGGGCTGCTCCAGCCCTCCCCGAGCGGCCCCGCAGCGCTGCCCGGCTCCCCGGGAACTCGCGGCCCTGAGCTCCAAGTCTTTCTCTTTGCATTTTCCCCTCGGACTCGCAGGGAGCCCCAGGGTCACAGAGGCCGACACATGGAGAGTGAATGGGGGAAGAACTCAAGGTTTTGTCTCAACTGCCTTGTTCTCAGGACACTGTCACGGGTGCTCGTGTTCCTAAATCGTTTCTCAAGGGGGTTGTGCGATCTCCACGAGTTGCCCCTTGGCATGGCATTCCCTAAGGGCTTAGGATTCCTACTGTTCAATAACTGCAGGGTTTTATAGCACCGCAACGTGCCGGCTTGGAACGCACACGAAGTTATGACATTCAGGGAATAGGGCTTCTGTAGCTGCTGCCACAGAATTCCCCAAAGGCAGTTTGAATCCTGAAGTGGGGCCTACAACAGATAAGACAATTTTGGGAGGGAAGGGGAAGCTAATGTGATAAATTAAGTATCTTACGGCATCATGTAAAGCTCTGCTAGAGAATATTCCCCAGCAGACCGACACAGTTTTAAGACAGATCAGCATTTTGGTCTGAGCTACTAGACAATGTCCTGTTTGGTAGAGAGATGAAATAAGGCAGAGGGGGTATGTTCCAGTTCTGGGGCTGAGCCTCAGCAGCACTAAGGAACGCCAAAGGTATCATCTTCCCTCGCCTCCCACAAGCTGTTTCATTTCCTTCCTCAGATTTGTTTTCCATAAAGCACACCTTGTTTTCCACTTCTTTTGTTCCAAGTGCTCTTTTCTTTGAAAAGTCATTTCTTCAATATCCCTATTACCTATCTATAAATCTAACTAGCTCTTTGAAAAGTCACACAATATTAATACCACTTTTACATAATGTCAGAACAACAATTCTATTAGTAAAGCTTTCAGTGAAGTTCTGCAACCCGATTGGTGTCCGGAGGAAGAGTAGCTGGACAACCCGCTCTCCCCCTTCCTCCCTCCCTTTCTTCACAAGAGCTCACCAAGTTCACTGATAAAACAGCTCAGCCCAATAGCACGACACATGAACATGTACAAGGCTACTTTGGGGAGCAAAGAAAGGAATCTTCAAGGTCCCTCCCTTAAGAGAAAGACCATCTGCAGAAGCTGTTGAACAGACTCTGACCTTGGACTACACTGCTTCCACATTTGAAGGAAAGAAACAGTTTTCCCTGACTGTATCCCAACATCAGCCTAAGACCTGCAGCGCTGGGCAAACCCCAGACACCGTTTGTCTTCACAGAGCCGATGCAACTCCATGCAGAAAAGGTGGGAGTACCCGCAAGAGATGAGGTCCTTAGAGGAAGGGACACTGACCCAAAGCTCAAAAAACCCCCACCCAGCTTTTCCTCTTACCCGCTCTGAGAACAGCAGAGCTGACAACTTATCAGTGCCTTTGGTTCCCTACGAGGCCACCGGGAATTGTCCCTCCCCAGCGGAGTCGAGCTCCTTTAGAAAGCCAGCTCTCGCTCCCGCACGCAGCCGGCGCCGGCTGGCGCTCACACGCACTCCCACACGCACCCACCCACGCACACCCTGCCCTCCTCCCCCGCTCCAGCAGCCTCGGGGGAAACGGGCAGGGAGCCTTGGAGCCCACACGGAGCTGGCTGCAACACCCCCCAAGGCAAGAACCACTCGCTCTTCTGCTACTGCCACCACAACACCGAGACATCGGCCAGGAGAACGACCTGGTCCCTCGCCAACAACACCTCAAAGCTCCTCTCCCACAACCGTCTCACAGTATTTCAACCCTTTCAGGCAGACCAGCCAGGTGTTAGGAGTAGGTTAGCTTTCACCTCTCTGTTTGGTTTTTTCTTTCATAGTTTTTGGTCTAGACAGGATTAGCATTGCTATTAGAAAAGGAAGTGTTTAAAAAGTTTTCCACCTATTATCAAGCACTACAAGCCCTACATTCAGTAACAAGACAAGGGGGATAAAAGGAACCTGTTTCACTTTTGCTCTCCCAGATAGATTAAGATGCGACAACCATTCTTGTCCCTCCCTGGAGTTAAACACAGCGGACCCAGTTCAGCTCTGGAGCAACTCAACTCAACTGAAACGGATTTACAGCCCCGAGGTCGATCCCAGCCCAGTACAGCCATCTCTCCCTCGAGCCTCCTCGATATTTGTTGCCTCATCTTCAGATCCCAGCGAGGGGCAAGGAAAGGCCAAGAGGGAGGGAAGTGTGTGCACACTCGAAAGGACCCTGAACAGCAACCCCATCAGTAACCTGCATGCCACCACGTGCTGTGCTGCAGATTAGACCACAGATAAACCAACCAAACAACAATCCCAAACCCAGGAGCGACAAAATGTTTCCTTTGGCAAGACAGATACAAGGAAAAAAATTTATGAGCAAACATTTTCCTTCTAACACAGTCAAACCCCCTTCTCTGCCCCCAACATCCACCCACCCCCACCCGACCCTATAAAGTTGTAACCTATAAACAGGATCTCAAATACATACAGCATAATCATGTTTATCAATCATAATAAACCATCAGTTCAACTAAACTCTACAGCTAGAATTATCTCCACTATTTATAAAGTTTGCTTTTCTCTTCTGATTTTTTCAGTTTAAAACCAGTTCTGCGACAATGCTAAGCTATGCTGAGGTATTTTATGAAGGTGCCAGAAGCCAGCTGCTACCCACAAGTATTGTTCTCAGAGCTGTATGGTGCTACCTTTCGCTGAGGGAAGACGGGGAAGGAGCAAGGAGGGAAAGAGGCAGAGGGACAGAGACAGGGAGGGAGAAAGGGGGCCCAGATTATTCCAGTTATGGACGGTTCTTAGCAGGGCATCACTGATGGACCTAAAAGCAGCCCCAAGACAAAGCTCAGTAGCTGCTTCATGTTCAGGAATTTGGTCAAAAAAGAAGTACCTGATGCGTTCTACATGCTGACCTTATTTGTCTGTGTGAATAAAAGATGCCTTTTCTCCCACAGTTAAACTATTTGTAATTTCAGTGCAATCTCCCTAACGCCCTCCTAACAGCATCCCAACAGGGGTAAAAATTCAGAGCATGTCCCCACTTGGAGTATCCTGGGAGAAGTGGCAGACAGATCAAATGCAGACAGGTAAGTTGAAAAAAATCAAGGTTTCTTCTGTGCATTACTGCGTCCATGTGTGAAGATATGCAAATAGAGGAATTGCTTTTCATCGTTCCAAAAGCACTGAAACTGCTTGCACTGACACAGAGGGAGCCAGGTACCACTCACATCGTGGAGACAAAGATATGAGCATCTTAAGAAACTGTGAACAGTGAACCAACAACTTCTTGACAAAATCTTCCCTGTCAAATATCTTTAAAGTATTTTAGGGGACTCCCCTCTGGAAGGAAGAGAGAAACTCACAAGCAGCAACAAGAGATGTAATGAGTGAGAAGGGCAGGACGTGTGCAAGGTAGGTATCTTGAATTCTGTATTGCTATAGTACTTTGGGAGGGAGAGGGCAGATGTCCTGGTTGCAAAAATAGAAAGGGATTTGAGCTGGCTGTGTGAGAACAGACAACCATAAATGCATTGGGGAGCAGCAGGCCAGCTTATTCCTTTGGTAATACTCCACCCTAGGCAACATCCAACAGGGACAGACAGGCCCTGCTGGGGTACAGGGTGTGGAGAAACAGCATTTAAACATTTCAGGCAGAACAGGAATAGGGAACAGTGACTCTTTGTAAAGTTAATGTGGCAATAAAAACATCTACATTTTCAACTTCCAGTTTAAAACCAAGAATCATTGAAAGTTTGGACCATGCATTTTATCTGTCCTAAAACACTCTAATGACCATGAGAAGCTACCTGTCTTTTTAAGATAATTTTGTATCTTTATATATTTCTATATCTAAGAAAATATGACTTAATATTTAAGGTAAATTAGATGTTGCTTTGGTTTAGTATCTGTGGTATGGCTCCAGCTGTAATGGTTGTGCTGCTCCATTTGCAACAACAACAAAAAAAGAGGGAATTCCCATTTTAAGGAACACTGCTTTGCAGGAATGTGCACAGACTTAAGGAATTAACTCTCCTGTGTCCTTCACTAACTCAACTGCAGAAATGTGTCAAAGCACCCTGTGTGAGGCTTACAGAGGTGGCATTTGAACATTAGGTCACAGTTCTAGGAGATGTCACATCCACACCACCTCACAGTGATTGATAAAAACGTACTTCAACTAACAGGTGTTGTAGAGCAACTCAGAAACAAAATAAATGCTCTGTAGGAAAAGTAAGCAGATGTAACAATTGTAAGCAGCCACACCTGTGTGTACTTTCTTTGGGCTGTTTGTGAATCCTTCCACGGTGACTGTGGAGTGGGTTCTAAGGTGACCAAGTGTGCTAAAGACAAACGTGTTTTTCTTAAGATCAGAAAAAAAATGTCATCACCAAGGTACAAGACCAACTCCTGAAGCCATTCTCTAAATTGTTTTTGACCTTCCGGGCATATCTGTGTTTGTGTTCCTGGAAATCTCTTGCTTTTTGAACTACCCCTGTCTGCAGGGAGAGCTTTTCACCTTATCTTTTCTTGCCTAGGTACTTGCTTGCAACTATGAAAAGCAACCCTCTCACCTTTAAATACAGAGCCATGGAAGTCTGAAAAAGAGATGCTATTATCCTTTTCTAAAACACCACCAAACTTTCTGTGATCATATTTACTGGGTCTGTACACAATTGTTATTGTTTCTTTTCAGATGCATCAATTTCTGCTGCCAGCACGACTATGATTTAAAAAAGAAACTTCTGCTAAATTCTGGTACATGATCTCATATTCCTTTCATTCTCTGAAGGAGCACATGCACTCTAACTTGGCAGATGTACACCCACTGCCAGTCTGATTTCTGTCTTTCACCTAAACACTGGAGGTAGCCAGCACCCATGAGGAAAAACACTGATAGGGATGGCAGGTAGGCTCCAGGAACAACAGTCAGTCAGTCACAGGGATGTTTTAGGGGACAAAGAATCAGAGCACACTGGCAATGGATGCCATGGGATATGTGCTGTTTGGGTATTATGTCAGTTTCTGCAAACAAAACCAAGTTTTTTTGGATATGTGACTACTCTGAGTTTCCAGTTTCTCTCAGAAAAAAAAACTCGCTAAGAAATTCCCTGGAATCTGGGCCCCAGATAGGGTGAAGGGGTAGAGAAGAGGAGGGTAAAGAAAGGGGTATAAGGTGCTCACACCAAAGCCATGTGACCAATGCAAAGGTAGTCAGGAAAAAAAGCAGATTTTTATAATAAATAAACCATCCAAGCTGCATTAGTGTTCCAGATATGTACTCAACAAGACCCTCTCCCAACCACAAACCAGCAAGAATGGGACATGAAAACTCATTCAGACAGCTAATGGCACAGTCTCCTGGAACTGTGGAGAGAGGATTTTCCACTGATTTAAGGCCCACCTTTCTTTGTGTTTCCTAGATATCTGCAAGGACCACGCCCCCCACCCCACCACAAAACCCTTGGGGAGGAGGGGATCCACCAGAGACGAGCCCGGTGGTCCCCCCCTACCAAAAAAAGCTTCCTGATAAATTGTACTTTTGCACAGGCGTGAAAGTAAGCAGGGACTTTCAGAGTCAGGAACAAACGCTACAGCTGCGGTTTTCCCCATCCTCTTACTTCACTCAAAACAAGTCCAAGGACTTGCATTCCTTTGGTAGAAACTACAGACCGTGCTGTGGCCTCCAGACCAGCACAGTGGGTACCAGCATCTTCTCTTCTACTTTTTCCCTACCTCCCTGAAGCTCACCCAGCTGTACCTGTTGCTGCTCTGAAGCTTTTACTGTGGGCCACTGCCATTTTTGCAGTATTATTCATAGCCCTAAAAGTCTCCTGCACAGCCTGAAGACGTAGAGACATATCAAAAATACAGAGATTCATCCATACTGGGGGGATAAAGGTGAGACCTCTTGGATTAACAATCCTCTGACATTGCCATTCTATTTACACATCAAATAAAAGAAAACAAATTAAAATCAAGTTAAGAGTCTGCCCCAAGGATAACACAAATTACCAACCAAAAAAAAAAAAGATTAAAAACAAGCAGCAACTTTTATATAAAATTAATAAAAACAAAAGACAAATGAAAAAGAAATTGTCAGTAGCATCTATCGCCTCTCTGCATCTGAACTGCACTTACACAAACTAGTCCATTAGTACAGCAGCTTGCTAGAAATTGACTTTGGTTCAAGCTTAGTTTTAAAAAAATAAAACATAAAAAAATCAAAAACACATAAGAAACGGTGGACGGACATTTGTTAGTTTCCCTGCTTGCAGTTCACTAGTTTTGACATTTTAGGGGTAATTGGTTTAAATATCAGTAAAACAGGAAGGTGGAGAGTTAGAGATGAACAGAGCAAAACCATGGTGGTGGGGGGAGAGATAAGGGGTTCTGCCACTTGAGTGCAAACACAACTCCCACATGCTCGGGCCACAAACCAAAGCATGAGTGGAGTTTAAAGTTGCTGCCTTCCGGATCTTGGATGAGAAGCTCCAGGATCCCCCTGAATCATCAACAAAACGAACATAGCTGCATCAGCTCATTATTTTAGGACACTCTGGTGACAAAAGAAAAGGGGGTGGGTGGGAAAGGGACTCTTCTAATACCCTCACTAGCTAAAAGTAATTTAGTTTTTTACACATGGCAGAAACCTTTAAATCCATCAGGAATGGAAAGTTTAACGTGAACTGCATTGCAGTGATCCAGTCTTCTCTCTTTAAAAATCTTTTTTCTTTTTTGGTTCAGATACTGGATTGTATATTTAAGAATATACGGGTCTAACTTCTGTACAGTTCATTACTCCTTCCTCATCCACAAAAATATCCTCTGCTCCACAGATCAGAATCAAACTTAACAAGTGAGTTGCAGTGCCGGGCTCACACGAGATCAGCGCGGGGTGTGCAAAGCCCCAGAGTGCCTCTGCTGTGTTGGCATTAACAATGGCACCTTCTGTTCCCATAGTACTGGCTTCTGTCTTTTGCAGCCAGAAGCACTTGTTTTTTTTTTTACTAGGAAGCTCTTCTAAATAGTGTTGGAAGCATCAGAAAAGGAATATTGCTATGAATGGGGAGAATGTGACCTTCTGAAATCCGGTACCAACTCACCTAGAGGGTATCTAGGACTCTAGATGCTGCTTTACATGCTGCCAATTAGCCTGGGTCATGATGTTTTTTAAATATTTGTGTGTGCTTTTGCACAGCAAAACGAAATCACTGGAACAGAAGGGCCATCAGTATTGTCACACAATCCACACTCGGGAGGTCACATCCTGCTCTCTGAAGTAAAAGGAACCACGCACACGAAGCTAAGAGCAGAATTTGGCTGTTTTGTCTAAATATTTGAGAGGAGAAGAATGGCAGTTTGGAGCAAATTCCTACCTCTGCTTACAAAGCAGAGACCAGCCTGGAAGTTTGCACACAATGATCTCTGCTGCTGCAATGAGCTTCCTGCACAAATGATGAATGTAAATTCTTCTGACCCCTACAAGTAGGCATTAGACAAATTCAAGGATGAGGAAACTGTTCAGAACATTTCCAGAAGATTAGGATAGAAAGTCTATTTGTGCTCCATTCTTCCTCTCCACCCCCCCACCCTCCCCCCATGGTGTGGGAGCTCGCTGAAAATAATCCAGGAGCAAAAGACAAACGCGTCCAAACTATATATATAAAAATAATAATAATAATAATCATAATAATAATAATAGAGATACACCAGTAATACAGGCCTGCCTAAATTGTACCAGTTAAGAAAGGAACCCCCAACATGATTGATACGATTATAAACACCTTGTATGACATAATGGCCTGTACAACAGACCTATAAAATGATAATTAAAAAAGAAAGATATTTAGACCAAAAAAACCAAGAAATCCCCTTCCTATGTTTGAACTGATAACCCACCTTAACTTGTCATTGTGACTGCTGGAAATGATAAGTAGTCCTTTCACTTTTTTTGTGTTTTTGCGGTTTTTAGTTTTTTTGTGGTTTTTTTTTTTTTTTTACATTTTTGGTTAGAAAGTTCTCCGATCCATGAAGCGATCCTGAAAAGACAGTGTTTATTATAAAATTAGGCAAATGTCTGTCCCAGCTTTAAATCCTTCCTGTTTTGCTTTTGTTTTTTTTTTCTCCTTTTTTTTTTTTGGTTTTTTTTTGTTTTGTTTTTTTAAATACTTTTTCCTTCTCTCTCTCTCTCTCTCTTTCTCTCTCTCTCTTGTCCCCAGCAACACGGCGAGAGGATGCCCACGGCATTTTCAGTTCATCGGCCGGGCTGGCAGCCGATCCCAGCGCACAGTGACCCAGGCTGCTGGAGCAGAGCCCAGCCCGGCTCACTGTGCCTTGGAGGCAGTAGTGGTGGTGGACGTGGCCCCGCTGGCAGAGGCCACTGTGAGGAGAGAGTTCTGGATGGACTCGGCTGAGGTGGAGGTGGCATGAAGGCTGGCGACTGGTCCAGAGGCCCCTGCGGAGGCTGCAGCTGCAGAGACCAAGCTAACTGGGTTGCTGGTGAGCAGAGAAAGGTTCTGAGGGTTCAGGAACAGAGGGGCAGTGACGATGTTAGGGGTACCTCCAGCATTGGCAAACACCAAGTTTCCAGTTGCATCCAGTGATGTTATTGGAAGAGAGCCACCGGATGCAAGAGCTAAAAATAGGGAAAGGTGAGCAGGGAGGAGATAACATTAGCAGTAAGCAACAATGCAAAATGTGCCTAAAAGCAAGAGGTCTCTGCATTTGCCTTTCTCTGATATGTGCGTTCTCTAGATTGCTTGGTTGGATCTTGCAGACACTAAAACACATCTTTCATTTGCTGCTAAACTAATTCCTCTGTGCCTTTCTTTAGCTCTTTTAGCACAATACTGGTCTATGTTTTCTGGCACAGAGAGCCTGTGCATCCAGGCAACTTGCACTGGGAAGGGCTGAGATGAGGGTTCACGTGAAATGACAGCTATCACAAGATGGAGAAGGTCATGTAACCTTGAGTGTAACATTTTAAATGTTGACATATAACCAACCACTGTTACAACTTACTCTCACGGGTCTACAGCGCTCAGTCTGCTTTAGATTATGATCTCCTAAATTTATCTGTGACACTTTATGAAATGGTTCTTTCTTGCAACCTAGGAACAAGATTTGTTCAGCTAGTTTAGAGGATATTTGAACACACAGGTTTTACCTAGCTCTTTAGACACTTGTACCACCCAGTTTTTACAGGTGGCAAACTATGAACCCAGAACAACTCTTGCTGAAGCCAGTGGTAACTTCTGGCTTTGTGCTACTTCCAAAACAAATAAATACCTACTCTTCTGAACGTGGATTTATTTATTTCAAGTTCTACATAAGGATTTTAGGAGGCAGGATGTTTGTTGCAGGTTCTTTTCTAATACACATGAAGATGAATTCAGGATCAAGATTTGCTCAGAACTGCCCTTCCAAGAGACCTCAGAATGGTGCATGTCTGCTCAAGCAGACTATAGAAGAGCTATAAAAAGCAAATCTCTAACCTGCTAAAGATACAGGCCAATGAGGCAAGGACAACAATATAAATTCCAGATTATATTCAGTATCTTAAATGCCTCCCTTAAATCATACACAGCACTGATTCCCTGTCTGAAGTTGTACCTGCTCTTATCTCTTTGACCAACAAAATGTATTTGCACATTTAATTTTTTTAAGCCTTTACTCCTACACAATTTATGCTCAGTGCTGAGGAGTCAGTGCTCTCTGGTAGACAAAATCACAGCTGATAAACTGAAGTTGTGTGACGGAGATGCATTAAAAGATGCATTACTGACCTTGAATAGTTGCCAGTGTACTGTTGCTCATCAGGGCCGGGCTGAGAGCACCACCTAATGTCCCTGGATTGAGACTGAGTAAGGCACCTCTGCAGCAAGATCATGGAAGAAGTGGAAAAAAGAAAGAGTGTTACTTTTAAGAAACGTTTGTCACTGTTTTAAGGTACACCATCATATTTTTAAAAAAGGGCAGGGAGGGAGGAAAGACCAGAGATCAAGGGCTATTTATGGATTATTTTACTTTTAACTCCATGAGGGGTTCAAGACATGCCCGAAATACAAGCACTGTAAATACATTACTTGCATTGATTGTTGGTGTGATATATTCTTGTAAAGTATTTTGGAAAGACTGTTAATTGTTAGAGAACTATCATCCTATCCCAAATGCAGATAAGAAATATGTAAATCAAGAGGAATTAAAGAAACATCTGTCTGAGCAAAATTTCTTAAAGTATAACTTCAACAATACATGATTTTTCATCTTTGAGAGCTTCTTGCTCATGATGGAGAAATGAATACAGAGGTGTGAAGTGGGTCTAGGCTATCTGTCCATTTTGCAATTAATATGACAGATTCTATGGTTCAGTGGTAAGTTGCAGTTTGTAAGTCAAGCTCTGCAGTGGGATGAATGATTTATCAAACAACAACATCACAGCAACACAGCTTTTTCACCTTTAAAATGAACACAGCATTTGTGTACTGTGATGGGAATGGTCCATTGCCATCTATGAGTAAACCTTCAGAATTTGAGACAAATGACAGCGATACATAAAAGCAATTTATCCCCAAAATTTTCCTTCACTCTTCTGTCACCTCACCTAAAAGGGCGTGCAAAATTGATCCTTACCCAGCTGCAAACTGCGAGGATGCCATCAAGCCTGGGTTTAGCCCTGCTGCAGCAGCCATGGCAGCAAGACTTGCATTTGCAGGCAACTGTGCAGCTCCTTGTAACGCGGCCGCTGCCGCCGTTTGCAACCCTGATGCCGTTACCATCACCTGGCTGGTCCCGAGAGGGGAGGACAAGGGAGTGGAGGTTGTCTGTGTTGTGCTGGTCTCACTGGCACTGGAGGCCTCTGAAGCGGAGGCTGAGGCAGAAGGGGAAGGGCTCGGGGAGGGTGATGTCACTGCTGAAGAAGCTGGAGGTGCTGTTGAAATCACTGTTGCCGTGTTGTTGGAGGTGGTTTCTGTTGTGCCTGGAAGAATGGTTCTGGTCAGATCAGTACAAAACACGGATGCCAGACAACAGAAACCCCTTCCCCCCTGATCTCAACTGTGTGTCCAGCTGAAAGGGGTACAAGCACACATTTCTGTAGTACCAAGAAGCACCAAGAGTTCAAATGAAAAATGAAATTACACTTCCCAATGTGGGGCTGAGGAGCTCCAGAAGCAACAATGAAATACAGTATATTTTGTTTCGGCACCACCTGTGATTTTATTCCTGGAAAAGTCAACTCAGTGGGCACAAAAACTGAAGCTTCTTAGTGCAGCAACAAGGAACGATGACAAGAATGTCCTGGGATACCAGTGACCAACAGTGAATGACTCTTTTAAGAATTCAAAAGGGACAAACGGTAGGGGTTGATGTGGTGGCAGCAGAGATAAGCCCTTACCTGTGACTGACAGACTGGTGACAGCAGGACTGGCCAGAGGGAGCACGGGGTTGACAGTCAGGGTTGTAGCTGCACTGCTAGTCACAAGGCTTGGCGTGGTTGCCACCTGGAGGTCAAAACCGAATAAAACTGCTCAGCTGCTCAGAGTGACACACTAGACCTGGATTTCTTTCTTTCCACCCTCAGCTGAGGAAGTTATCAGCGAAAACACTGCACATAAACTAAATTTTTTTGTAATTTGATTACTTTTTCACTCAATGAAACATCCATAGCATCTTCTCTAATTACCAGCAATATCTTTATTCCTAATAATTCAGTATTTGAAAGCAGATACACCCCTATCCATATTGTCTCAAGACTGCAAGTTAACCCTCTCTGCCACCCCACAACGACAACACCTTGTTTTAATAGAAACACTCTTACAGAAAGAACTACAAAATATTTCTACTTTTCTTTTTCTTGTTTAAACATCTTTTCAGCTCCAGATCTCTTTCTGATAAAATTATGTAAATGCCCCAGCATTAACAAAGGTATTTAGAGTAATGTGTTTATAAGGAGAAACAGAATAACATTTCACTTTTATTCAATGAAACTATAAACTTCACTTTGATAAGCTTCCTTTTGCCAGAGGAAGGATCTCTGAATTTTAAAACATACAAATGGAGTTTTCAACTGTGGATGGTTTATTACAAGAAAGCTAAAATAAACTGAAGACATTACAGATAAACACCAAAGATTTAAGACTGGAGAAACTAGCTTATGAGGAAAAATGAAATATAAGGAAAGGACTTTTTATGGACAAGAAATGGTGTCCAACAGTAATATCTGAAGACTGTTATACATCAATGAGAGAAATGAATCCTTTAGAATTGCCCAAGAGAACATAGCCAAGGATATAGGCTAAACATTCCTCCTTTCCACTCTCTTACCATAAGTCTATTATCAGAGAAATATCTCTCCTGCCTCTTAGAGGGAGTCAAATGCTTCACGCATTTTAAACAAGACTGGGGCAACTGGGACAGATCTGAAAGCTTTCTGCCCATCTCAAATAGTGTATGAAATTAAGAGGAGCTGGATGCACAGTACACCTCCCACTAATGCAGCCCAGCCACCACATCTGTCATCTGTCCGGCAAGCAGTTAAGGCCAAGGTCACCATCCCTATTTCAGGGCAGAGAATGACCTGGAATTAATCCAGCTCACCCCCGTGGTTCCAGTGAGTGACTCCAGCCAATGCAAAGGAGGCTGCCCCCAAAAGGAGCCTTCCTCTCCAATGCTGCTGCAGAGCCCTCGCCCTCGTGCAGCCAGGCTGCAAGTCACGCAGGTTATCCAACCACACTGAAAAGTCATCATTGCTCCTCACATGGCTAATTGCAGTCAAACTGCTCAAGTAAGCCCAAGCATCCTATGGGCACAATCTCCAGAGCTGACACAAGGAATCAACAAAGCACGGAGTCAGTGAAGGCTGGTGGCAGCAGGGCTGGAACACCCATCTGAGTAGCAGCACAGTCTTAAGAGAAGCTTAGAATGAGTGAAAACACTAGTGAAACTTCACTGATGAAAGGGAGACTGTGGTTAACACCTCAATTTCTTATATACGAAGGCAGATTATAGCAACAGGAAAATTTCCCTAGGAAAGCTCCTTTAAGTTGCAGTCTGAGGGAACTTGCACAGTTACTAAAACATACTATCATAAATCTCACTATATTCGGCTTTGGTAGCAAGGCATGCAACCTTGCTTTGCAACTGGGCAAAAAAAAAAAAAAAAACAACAACCCAAAAACCAAACCAAAACAACAATAATAATAAAAAATACTAAGTACACTTAACACAGTCCTTCCCCTGAAACTAAAGGTTGCATGCACACACCCTGAGACAAGGATGAGGGGAGAGAATAACACGTCACCAAAATTAATGGTTTAATGAAGTACTGGAAGATATTAGCTACTACGGTGATGAGGGTGGAATAAATACTACAAAAGGACAGCTACAGGCTACATAAATTCCACCACATTCCTATTAGCATAGCTACTATGAAATCTAAAGCTACTGTTTCTATTTATGAAAACAGACCTCCATGGACATTGGTAGCAAAGGTGCTGAAGGAACCTTGATGCATGTGTTTTGTTACTCTTATTTTCATGAAGTTTGTGTTTACCTGAGGTAAATACAAGTGTAGGAAATTAATTACATGAGTATTAGCTGAACTGTTCTTCTGTTCCATGCCTTTCTTTATATAAATAATTTCTGACTAGAAGTAACAATGGTATCATTTGATTTGTGTGACCTAAGTCTCCAAATGATACAGAATCAAAGGATGGGTAAGATTGGAAGGGATCACAATGGGTCCTTGTGTCCAACCTCCCTGCAGGGTCACTCCTAGAGCATATGGCACAGAATTGAGTCCAGATGGTTCTTGAGTATCTCCAGTGAGGGAGACTCCACAGCCTCTCTGGGCAACCTGCTCCAGTGCATGACACATTTTACTGCTGCTCATTTACTGACCAAAGTAAAATAAGAGGTAGCAGGGAGAGCTATTAAGCACTAAAAAAAAAAAACAAAAAACCTACTATTTTATTTTTTAAAAATTGGGTAGAAGAAGGAAAGTTCAGATATAAACTCGAGGCATTATCTGAAGTAAGTTCAAAGCAATAACCCCAAGTGCAATATTTGTTTGTGAAATGACTAAATAAAACATTCTCACTGAAGGCCTGACTAGTGCCTGATTTGTAAGCATTATCTCTCTTAGACAGTATCCAGGTGGAACACTCCAAATGCCAGTAAAACACAAATATGTGAGAACAAGTCTGCTGTACAAAGAAGGTGCAGCACGTGTAACGCCTCCACAGTGAGCACAGCAGAACTACCTCCAGCAGTGATCTTTGTCAACACAGTTCTTGACCCTTACCAGTGAGGTTGGACAAGGGAAAATTGCTTTGATGGGCGAGCTGCTGGTTCCACCACTGCTGGGTGGGTTGATCCTTTTCTCCTTCTGGCGCCGGTTACAGAACCAAACGCGGATCACCTCCTTCTCCATGTTTAGCTGGTCAGCTATCATGGCGATCTCATCCGAGGTAGGCTTTTGGTTCTGACAAAAGAAAATGGTATTTGAAAAGCTCTGAAATTACCTCCTGAAGTTTTGCAACACAGCTTCTCCTCCGGTAGGCAGAAATCTGAATTGGTGATTTAGATCCAGAATCTGGTCAGTGGTACTGTAGAGACAAACCACAGTAGATGCTTCTGCCCTCCATCTAAAAACCTCAAATTATGTGTGCTTAGACTATTGCCTCATTTATCCACCCTCATGAAGAGTAGTGTTTAAGCCTATGTCTGAGTATACTGGAATGCAAAATCACAAAGTCAGTGAACTTCAAGAGTGAGTATTTCTGAGGGGGTTGGTGTTTGTTTTTAAAGTGAAACAGATGCTGATGCATGTTTCTTGGCATGGCTTTTGTATTCCCCTTGCTTAGTACTAGCACCTTCCTAAATAGCACAGTAATGGGTTCACTCTAACAAATAGAATTGTTAATGAAGTTTCTCCATTTTTTCATAGGCTGAGCAGAGCACCAGGACCACTGACCTCCAGGAAACTCTTCTCTAAGGCCACACGTATGTTGGTCTCTATGCTGGTGCGTTTCTTCCTCCTACGGTTCAAGCCTTCGATCCCTTGCCCTGGAGAATTCAGGGCACTTGGGCTGGAGAGAGTTGAATCAGATGAGAGGTTTTCTGAAAAAGAAGAAAGTAATACAAATCAGGAGATTTAATCTGAATGCACAGCAGTCTAATGCATGTGTTCTTCACCTGTGCAAGGTATGTTAAGACCTGCTCTGTATCTATTCCAAATATATAGAGGTTTATGAAGATCACATGTATTAATCACTGTATTTACAAAATACAACATATACCTGAAACATAAAAGCTACAAATAAGCCCAGGGGATGTCCTCTGCTCCTGTATGCTACCACAGTATCCCTTTTTTAGTACCTATGCAGAGTTTGTCTCCCATATCTCAGTCTACTCCCCACTGACTCACTGCAAGCCCCAGTTTAAAGGAAAAAGGAGTACTTGATACCCATGAGCCATAGCTGAAAGTCACAGGCAGTAATGAAAAAAAAATCTGAGCAGCCTGAAATTTCTTTTACCCACTCTACAAAACACTTGAGGAAGAGAAGTTCATATCTGGCTCCACAGTGCTCAGTCTGCTCTCTCTGGACATCTTAGCAGATACTCAGGGCTACCAACCACTCCACACAGCAAGCAGCTGCCCCTTCTTAACTTCACCAGGGCTCTTAACCCCTAATCCTGTCTTTCTGGCTTCACAGAGGAGCAAAGAGAGAACATTTAACCCCACTTTGCAGCAGGAAGAGCAATCTAACCAAATGGCAATTTTGGGAATTTAACAAAATCATTAATTGTGGCTGGAGTTCCTTCATTGCACTGGGCTTTGTGGGTGATAAGCTGGTGTCAAAGTTCACAATGCCCACCATTATTCTGGTAGACTCAAATGGGCAAGTATTTTCTAGTTTTTTTTAACAGTAAAGGCACCTGTAAATATATGGAAACCCTTCCTCAGTCTGAAAACTCCACTGACAACCAGCTGTGTTCCATGGCAATAAATTCTGGAACCATCAGTATGCTTCTCCTCCCTACTTTTACCTAAAAGTAAAACAGAACCTTCTAAAGTCACCAGAATCTTTCTTCCAAAGATTTTCATGGAACTGAGTCAGAGCCAAAGGCAATGGCTTGCAGGACGTGAAGAACCATGACACCATTCACTCAGCTTTACAGAGACAAATCTTTCTTCAGGCTAGCAGGAAAGAAAGCCCCTATGACACTCCTTGCAGCACTGGATCCATCCAATGCTGCTGGAAGGTTTGGGGACGGCTGTCCTGTGGACTTGAGCACTCAGTGTGGAGGTATTTATGTTTTCTATCACAGACCTACAACACCTAATGATAACTCCTGTCAGCACAACAGAATGACACTTCCTTTTCTCAATGCAGGACAAATTTTCAACACCGCATGAAATTACTTTCAAAATTTCAGAGAATGCTGTAGGTGCCAGCATAGAGCTCTCTCCATTTTAAAGTAGGATAAAAATAGGAAGGCACACACCATCCCTGCCATCTGTTTAACATATCCATCAGCTTTATACTATGTACAATTGCATACTTGGAAGAAAAAACTGGCTGACAGCACTCTCAAACACTTTCCTCCTAACACCTAGCCCCACCACACAAGATCCTTTTGCTGGTGGGAAATAATAAAAAAAAAAAAAGATCACTACCAACATTGGCATAGTGAATAACTTGTATCCCAGAAAAAAATTAATACGGGGGGGTGGGAAAAAGCAAAACCTAACCCACAAAGAATTCTTCCTACAGGGAAAAATATTATTTATCTGAACACTTGGAGAGAGATAAAAGGAATGCACACAGGGTATGGAAGGAAATGGATGCAATAAGCTCTGACTACTGAAAAACAAATCATGCAACCCTCTCTCTACTACACATCTGAAAAAGAAAGCTAGAAGAGGATTAGACGTTATATGCATTAACATACACAAAGGAGGAAAACCATGACACATATTGTACCTCATCCCATGCAATGGTTCATCTGTCTAGAGAACACATTTCTGAAAGTTCATACTGGAACTATTTTGGATGCATATAGGCACATGGAAAGGGAACTATGGACCCTTATTTCTACACCCTCATTTGTCCCACGGGCAGCTACAAAGGCTGGTAGCTTCATAAAACCATAAGGGCACAAACGAAGCAGCTTTTCAGAATCCTACTGATTTTGGTAGGCTGGTGAAGAAATACACAGACTCATTCACCTGCATCATTGAGCCACTTTTCCAGAAGTGGCTTTAACTTGCACATGTTCTTAAAGCTGAGGTTCAAGGCTTCAAAGCGAGAGATGGTAGTTTGGCTGAAGTCATTTCCATAGAGTTTGCCCATAGCGAGCCCAACATCACCCTGGACAAAGAAAGAGAAAAAAGGGATTCACTGACATAGGCACTTCCAAAGCAAGGAATCCTGTCACATTCTGGTGTTCTCTTAGTGACTCCACTGCTGCGTGGGATTTCAGTTTCACAGAGGCTTTCTCAGCGCTACCAAGATTCATGCTAAAGCAATAATCATAAAGAAATGTCAAACCTCAGTCAGTTTAACCTTGCAACTCTTTCCAGGAAATCCCTGATGCTTTGTCTTCTTAGCATTATCACTGAGCAGCACATTCCACTGAATGTTAACTCGTAATTTTTTCTTAGTTTTTTAAAATAAGTAAAGGCCAAGCTCTCTTTGGGAGCAGATTTCAGTTTTTATGCCTATTTCAGACTGAAAGTTCAAATAAGCAGAAATGTTATGAATTTACTTTCCCAAATTTGTAGAAAATACTCAGGACAAGATGTCTGCAAACATACATCACATTTAAATAGATGCAGAAATATTCTTATCTGAACTGCTAGTATCTTCAGAGGTTCAAACCAAATTTCTCCCCAATAGATACAAATTTTAAAGCAGACAAGAAGTTGAACCATTTCAAGTAATGATTAACTGCAGGCTTGACTATCATTACCCATCTGCCAGAAAGCTATCCAGGAGATTTACAGGCAGATTATCATCTCTTTACATCTGTTATTGCTTTTTAAACTCAGTTTTAGCTAGCTATTCTGCTAGCAGACATTCTGCTTATCCTAATATTTATGTATGTATTATATAGCTATGTAAGTACACACTTGGAAAGTAGTGTTTAAAAAAAAAATCAATCCATTCTTGATTGTGGCCATTAAAAACACCATAATATTTTCATGCTTTGCTTTAAAGCTGGAAAGTCCTGCCTTTTGAAAAAAAAAAAAAAAAGCACTTATATTTCAAGTATACTATTTGATCTAAAGCAGCTTTATTTAGATTTTTATTTTTTTAAGCACAAAACAAAGTATGAGAAGTGTGGAAGAAGAGGCTGAAAAGCTGGAGCACAGTTAGTGGAGTTTAATTGCAAATGGGTTAGTCGGACTGGGCATAAAGCTCGCTCTTCTCTGAGGTCAGCTCCACAACCACAGCTGGGTGTGAGTAACTGACAGCATGCAGAGTGGCCACACACAAGCCAGGAAGAAAACAACCTTTGGGAAGCTTAGTAAATTGTGCAGGTTGAGCAAAGAAAACAATTTCTTTCCTAGAAGAGGACCAGAACAATTGGTTTGTGTGCCCTTCAATCAGAGGAAACACGTGGGAACTCACATTTATGCCTCTACTCATATGCCAGGATTCTGTGCATTTTAAAACTCATAAATCATTCCAAGAGGAGTAGCGTGGATGCTCTTCTGGGTTTATGAAGAAGAAAACCTGGCTATGTAAACCATTTTAGAGATAAGTTGATTTATGTCTTGGCAGCAAAGAGTTATGAAATTTGCTCCAGTCCCCCAACTAAATTTAATTCTGGATTTATGTTGTTCTTACAAACATTTGCCATCTGATTTAAAATGAATAGTCAACCATTTCTTTGTCAATGCCAAAAGGTGGCAGCATTTCAGCTGTAGGCAAAGGAATTTACATATCAGGATGAGAATTTTATATATTGGGATGGCCCACAGATAGGATGGAAGAGAGTATAAAGGCACTGTATACACATCTGATCTACTCTGTAGGTTGACTGAAGCTCTGGTAATGAACTGCAACTGATTATAAGGTACACCATTGTTGTGTGTACTGGTCTGTTAAGAAGCTCAGATGGTCTAGCAGAGGCAATACCTTTCACAGAATAAAAATAACATTGTCTCTTGAAAAATAACTCCCGTCTCTTGAATCTATACTGAGCAATTAGTCCCAGGCCTGCAATGATGCTAAGGTGCAGTTTGCTCATTGTGTGCCTGTGTGTCAAACATGGAGGTATTTTTAAGGAAAACAAACAAAGGGATTTAAATGCATCACCCCCATTTCAGGGTGGGAGAAGAAGCAGAACTGCTGAAATTCAAAACCTGTTTTATTGTTCACACGACAGAATGTAGTAAGTGATTAGTTTGCAATGCAAACTAAATCTTACAATTATTTTTGAAAGGCAGGGGTGGGGTGAGTCTGAAAAAGCTTACAGTACTGCTGGAAATAAATTTCTTTTATCCTCTGAAAGGCAGTCTATTTATCCAACTATAGGAAACCAAAGTAATCAGGGTCTCTAATTATCATCCAATTATGCAATTAGGTTAAAGTTATTAGAACAGCCTAATTACACACATACAAACTCAGAGTAGGACAGGAATGACCAAATGCAATTTTATCACATTCTCAAGATTCCCCTTTTTTAATCTGAAAAGCAAATACTGAAATGTAAGCCTGAGCAGTTGTGTTCATTTTTCCTCACCATGAAAATTCATAACCAGGTCAATAAAGAAAGGTTAACACATAGCTTAAAAAGTCTAGTTGAGCTTTTATAATCATCTCACAGCAGGGCAGATTAAACATAATAATGAGAGATCTACACGAACCTCCTCTGTCAGGCTATAGGGAAGCTATTGTATTTTACCCTATTCTGTGCTGCTCTATTCGAGCTTTTGTGTGTGTCCATCACTTGTATTTCTGTGCCTCCCTCTAGTGGAAAGAAGGGAGGGAAGGAGACACACATGCCAGCAAAATGCACTTCATTTGACTAAGAACATTCTGTTCTTGACTTATAATTAAGATGCTGCCAGGAACTCTCATTATGAGCTTTGATTTTTCAATTTAGGACTTTGCCAGAAAAATAAATCTGACTTCAGCACATACTTTCAGCTAGAGAAGATTTAGTTATTCTATTCCATCACATATGTTGGACTGACTGCTCTGAGCTCGGACTTTTAAATACTTTGATTTTTGCATGCTCTTTCTTCTAGTAAAATTATGCTTATGCTTAACCACAGACTCCTGCCAAAATGAATTGTTTACCTGGGGAGGTATTTTAATTTTGCAGGGGGAAAAAAATAATTTTGATTTTAATAAGAAAGGACTCTTGGAACCAAGTTCCTTTCAAAAGAATAATGGAACATATAAATGCACTTTGTACTTTTAATTGTGGTCTTCATTCAACCACCTTCACTATGTTCAAGATTAGTTTTCTTCTGCTCTACGGGTATTTCTGAGCTTTTAAACAAACCAAAACAAACCACAACTCCAGTTCACCCTTGTAAGGAGAAAACTTCAAAGGTGACAGTCCTTTCAGGTTTTGTTTAGGAACCTTAGCAAAAGCATTAAATACAGAAATCATTGATGTTTAATAGGAAAATACGCTTGAGAGATAAAAACCCTTTGACATCCAAAGCAACTGCACAGATGTGATACACTTTTTAAACACATAGAGCAGTTAATTGTACTGTATGATTTTTGGAACTTTGTACTTCTAAAGGCAGCTTTAAAGTGCTTTGTCCCATTCATGTCACATCCCATGGAATGAATAGTGCACATGCAATGACATCTGGAGCTGGTAAATGCACGTTTTCCCCTGCTGGGAAAATGGCTATGCTTTAAAACCAACAGGGAAGTAAGATGGATGTATGGCTTGTTCTGTTATTTCTTAGAAATCCCCCACATAAAGGCCAGAGCATAACCCTATTTAAGCAGGTTCTCCTAGGGAATGATGGAATTGTAGTCTCCCCCCAGACTTGAAAGATGAGACCTCAGGTTCCACACTGGCAGGCACTAAGGTACGCAGTCTCACCTGAGTGAATCCAAGTTTGATCCGTCTTTGTTTGAAAGTCTTGGCAAACTGCTCAAGCTCCTCAAGGTCACTGGGCTCCTCCAAGCTGGGAGTGTCGATTCGCTTTGGTGTTGACTGGCTCTGTGGAAGTGGCTGAATGGGGGTCGCTGCTATTGTGCGTGTTGGGGTTGCTGGCTATTGAGACAGCAAGGAAAGGATGAAAATCAGACTTAAGAGGATCATCAACAGAAATTAAAATCCTAAAAGCTATGTGATGTTCTTGTGAGAGAGGTCAGTGGATTGGACATTTCCTGAAATCTGGAAGTTCCTCCATTTATTAACATTCCTCTCCAGAACAAGCAAACACAATCCAGAAAACTACAATGACAGTATGACAGGCTTTTAACGGTTCTGTTGTAACCAGTTAAAGAAAAGTAAGAGATGTTCAATGGTAACCAACAACTTTTACTTGCTGCAGAATCTGCTTGAAGAAAGACTGAACACACTTCTATTACTTATAGACACCTTGGTATTCATCCCTTTTGAAAAAAAAAATTAAAATTGAATAAAATTAAGCAAAGGCAATCTGCAGAAGATTATTCATTTCAGGTCACACTTTTCTTCTACATAAAGGATAATTTTCTAGGAAGTCCGTGAAAGGTTCACTATTCCTGAACATTGGCATACTGAAGCATTTTGCGATGCAACTACAATAAATATCTGAAAAAAATTAGCATCTTGGAAAATGTTCACAGGTGAACAAAATATATTTAGATCTGGTATTGCCCAGTTCAGGCTTTATGTGCAACAAGAACACTGGAAACGTTTTGATTGCATAGTTCTACCTCCTTACATGCCATGATCAGCTGAGATGCAGAGACAAATCATCTACTCCTGTTAAATTCTAGTCACTTTAGCTGGGGCTCTTCAGTAAAGGTGATTTCATGCCTCTGTGTCCTACACCCAGTTTTGAAACTCTGGATTCCTTCAGGGCAAACAAGAACAGCCTCAAATCCAGGCAACACTAGTGTATTATGCAAAGTCTATGCAAAGGTTCAGAAAAGGCTCTTCTAAAAGAACTGGCCGACATATAGCTCAGTCTTTACATAACTCCTTATGTTGCTTTCCTCCTGGGTTAGTGCAGTGTTTTGCAGTGCACAGCAGATGGTAGAGGGAGGTCAAGATCTATAATTCCATTACTTGAGAAATAATGTAATCATATATGATCTTTCTAGGATTGCAGATATATGTGTCACACTTAAAGGTTTTTAATATTTTTAATTTACATTAATCATAGTGGGTAATTAATGCAATATGTCTTCAATGATTTCACCCACTTTACATAATTTATTCTTTCTTAGTAGTTTTAATTTTTTTTTTTAATCCAAGAATAATCTTTAGAGTGGAATCATGCTGCTAGCTGAGGTATGAACTAGAGGTGAGACAAATTCCATTTTCCACATGGTGCATGAAAAATACTAGAGGTGGTATAATAGAAAATGTAGTTTTCTAAGACTCTGATAGACTCAGCCACCTTATTGCAGACTAGAAAATTCCTATATGTAACCGAGGTGGCAGGAAGATACTGTGTGATATTACATGGTATTTGAGAAACAGCATGCAGCTATGAAACTAAACTGCACAGTAAAACCCAGAGCCAAGCACAACTAAATCTGCAGGCACATGCAACCTTAAAAAATTGCCTTTCTTATAGTCTGAAAACTTAATCACAGAGCTCGAATATTTTAATATACATCTATCAGAATATTTCATTTCTAACAATCTCTTCAGTTTCACAGATGCTAACTGGTAAGACTGGCAATGACTTAGCAGTGATTGCAAAATAACTACACTAAAATAACGATAGATTACCACTGCAATCTTCAGCAAGAGGCTTGTCAGTGAACCCGTTTTGGAGCTCTTTTGGAGCTTTTGAGGGAGCTCACATCTTGCTCCTCTGAATTTTCAAGAAAACCTTACAGAAAATCAAACAATGCTCTAGTGCTATTAACTCAAGGTATCAATCATGAAAATTTCCAGCTAAGAACCCACTTTAGAACATTAAAGCCTGGAAGAGGCACACTGGGGTGGGAGCTACAAACCTGAACTATCTAGAAAGACAAATTCATTATTATAGCTACAACATCTATTCAAGTAACTAATACAAAGGGTCCATTCACTTGCCATAGTTTAAATCCCCTCAAAGCAAGTCATGAAGTGTAGGGAAAAGGCTGACCTGCGAGGCAAGGGTGATGCTTGGCTGAGACTGCAGGAGGTTGGCTTGGCTTTGCTGAGGTAGTTGCGTTAAGAGATTCTGCGCTTGCAGGAGACCTGGAGAGATAAAAGTGTGTTTGGTTTGTCATTCAAAAACACTAAAACGTGAAACGAGGTAAAACAATGCTCTTGCCAAATGATGGAAAGTTAAAAATTGAGATGTGAGCTTCTGTTTCATCCTTGTATAGGTATGTTCAGAGTTCAGAGTTTTCAGCCCAAAATCCCCTTGTATCTCCCTGAAGTGTAAATGGTGACGGAAGGGAAAGAGGGAGAAGTGTGTGTGTCCTCCGCAGAAAGAGTTGGTAATGATCTAGGTCATCCCAGTTCCATGTGCAGGAATCATTTACTGCCCCTTTCAGCATTCAGAGTTTGGATACATCTCTTCTGGTAACCAAGAGCTGACCAAGATTTGTGGAGCCATATCAAATACTGAGCACTAATGAGGTCAAATTCAACAACTGAATGCTAATCAAAACCACAAATTTGGCTTCTTGATCACCCTCCTTCCTCTCCAAACCACCCTATACCAGCTGCCTAACAAGAAGGAAGCTTTCTGGCAGACTTAAGCAGACCACACCAGAAGACACAACAAGCCTAGATAACTCCCTCCTGGGTCAAATAAAGTAGGAATCTTTTGGAAGAGTAATTGGAATTAAAGTTTAGGTAAGATACTGAACACTGCTCCATTTTAACAAATAGAATAAACACTACACTGAATATAGGAAAACCCTGCTACTATGAAAAGGTGACAACATCAAAGAACAGTTGCAACTGATAGAACCAGTATGTATAATATGCTGTCAATCTACAAATAAATTCCCTTACAGTCCACTATTTGCACAGTTTATTAAATCTCTGAGGAAATTGAGATACATGCCTGCATCTAAATATTTTAACTAGAAACTACCAATTTTTTTTTCATTTCTAATGCAAAAACATATCTATTTTTAAGGGACAGAATCTTAACAAAAATATACCTACAGTTAGTCAAATACCTCAATTTTACTGTGAAAAATGTTAACTATTATTTTTTAGATACCTCCTGGCTCCAACTATAAATTTCCACAATAATAATTAAGAACCCAACTAATTAAACTTACACTTCAATATACCTAGTCCCTAAAACGTGGGGGGAACAACAGATGGATGGACTGCTATGCCACCAACAGCTATGTACCATTTAAATTCAACATCATCAGATGCCTGATCTGCCTCTTAGCAGAATAAAGGCAGGGGAAACAGAATTTAGGACTTGATAAATACTGAGTGAGGAACTGGATGTTTTATCCAAGGTTAAGGCCATACAAGACATGGAGAGAGGGATTACTATGGTTAAGAAGGAGAAAATGTATCCTCAGTAAGGGATACACAGGCATAGAAGAATTATCATCTGACAGCAACACTTGATTTTTGTTTAACAAAGAGCTGAATATGTATTTTAAACAATCTTGTTGCTATCAAGATGCTCAGGACCTACAGAATACAGACAGCTGCTTATCTAACATAACAGCACACCACAGACAACGATGTAAGTTTGTTTTGCACCACATAATCAACATGTTCCAGCTGTGTTTTTGAAAAGCCACAGTGAGGGAAAAGAGCTGCTCAAGGAACTTCCAAGACAGCCACCTACTACAGCAACACACTGCTTTTTACAATGCAAATATTTGTTCACTTGAAAGATGATTTTAGCTGCCCAAATCTAAATGTTAATTAGCAAACAGTCACCTCTAGGTGCAGAGTTTTTTACCTTAATTCAGTGAATTTTGAACTGACAGCTTGAAAGTGAAAGGGGCAAACCCATCACACTGTCACTACAGAGTGGCTGCAAACAAACAAATGAAAACCAGCAGCCAACAGTGATGACATTTGAGTTCTAGTCCACTGGTAACACCATCGATTACAAGTTACTGACTTGTCTTATGACTGCAATCAGAGTAATTAGGACTGGCCTTTTGTGACTTTCTGTCCCCAGAGAAATCCCAGAGGACGTTTTTCTGGCGTTAACAATTTTGCTAAAGAGCACAGGATGACTACACTCTTCCTAATTTTATTCTCACGCACATGGTCTGAAGTAATTATAATGGAATTATCAGTATAAAATAACCTGAACACATTTAATCTACTCTGTTTTTACACAATTTTATCTTATGTAGGAGGTGCTGACACAAAGTGTCACAGGCAGAAACAAGTCGATTGAACCTGCAGCTGACTGAAGGGGATGGGGAAAGCAGCTGGACCATTCTGGAAACATGTCTCTCCTCCTGATCACAGCCTTTCCAGGTAGTTGCCATGCACACACTTTGGGCACTCCTTGGCTGTCATAGGTGGGCAGCTGCAGTTGTGCTCTTTTAAGATATGACTTGAACCAGTCGAAGCTTCTCCTTCATTACTTTTCTGAGAAGAAATCACTGAGGTCCAAAGTAACTTCAGTGACTCAACTTACAGAGCACATAGCACTGCCTTTTCTAAGTAAACACACATCCTTTAGGCACCCACTGAGATCCTGCCATTTCAAACACTGCTGTTTCCTTAAAGACTCATACTGCCACCAATACTGCTTCATATCTTTATTACCAAGTAGGCTGATGGGATAAAATATATTCTCAGCAGGTCTGTGGACAATACCAAAGATGGGGAGTGGTCAACAGGCCAGAAGCCAGGGTCTAGACTAGCTGGATAAACTAAACTTCAGGAAGAACAATGCAGGAAAATACAATGTTCTGCATGGGGGCTGAAATAACCCTGTGCAGCAATACAGGGTGGGCACTGGCTGGCTGGAATGCAGTCCCACAGGAAAAAGTCCTGGGCTTCCTGGAGGACAATCTGATGAACATGAACCGGCAGTGTGCCCTTTTGAGACAGCCAGCCACATCCTGGGCTGTACTCACAGGACTGCAGCCAGCAGGTCAAGGCTTGTGCTTCTTCCCCTTCATGTGGCATCGGTGACACCACAGCTGGAGTCCTGCTGTCAGCCTTGGGCTTCCCAGTACAAGGCACAAGGCCATCCTGGATTTTGTACACCCAAGGCCCACCAGGGTGGCTAACAGGACGGAACAGGCAAGTGAGCTGTTTGTTTTAGCCTGATGAGGTGAGATCTACTGCTTTCTTCAAAGACAGAAATGGACTCTGCTTGAGGGTACACTGTAATGAGATTCAATGGCTATCAGAACATGGAAAACTCCAACTAGAAATAGGGAAACAATTTTTATTTTTTAACATGATAGCAGTCAACTCTTGGGGCAGGTACTTGAGAATGTTGCAGAAACTCCGTTCTTGGACATGTTCAATTTAACTGGCTGAGGTGCTGAATAGCCGCTGTAATTGGACCTGCTTTGAACAATTCTACCTGGTCTCTAGAGGTCTCTTCCAAACCACATGATTTTTTTGAACCTATAAAAGCTGCCATTGTACTTGTATAGTTTACAGAGGTCGTATTCCTAACCCTCTGCCCTGTGTTTTAAGAGTCTAGTGGTGTTATTGCATTAAATGTGGCACACAAATCACCTATGTGGCACTGTAAAAGAATGACTGCATAGAGGCAGATAAGGATCTATGCAGAAGTATGATAGTTTAGAGTATTTCTTTGTTTTATAGTTATAGTAAATAGATCTATTGTCATTCAGGATTTTTCCTGTAATGTCTAAGAGTAGCATGAATAATGGTCCAAGCCAAAAAATTCTTCCTGCCAGCCAAGAGTCCCTTAGGACTGATCTGGTGTTCAGTTCTATCTAAAATTAAACAAAAGATAAAACAAACATTCAAGCACAGACTTTTTCAGCATAATTTTTAAAAAGTTGGCCCAGAAGCATAATGCATAATTCATCCCAAACTGATCTCCCAAAAGAGTGAAGTTTTTCATGTAAGAACTTGACTGCTTTATCTCTGCCAAAGCTGTTCATCCTCTCACTGGAAGTTAGCTTGCAAGACAAAGCCATTACAAGGACTTCCATACGAGTGAGGCCTCAAAGTCTGTATAACAGGTATGAAAGAAGAAAATAGGATAGGATTTGGCCCAGGCAACTTTACAATTTAAAAAAAAAAATCATAAATACAGTCTTTATTAATAAATAGCAATAACTTTAGACTAGGTAGATCCAGTTTCAATGTTTATAGTTAATTAGTAGCTTGTCTTCCACATTTTCCTTTCTGGATATTTTCTTTGTAAGTACAATTTCTAAATCTCACTGTGATACAGTCTTTGCCTAGATCTCAACAACTCCTGTTTGGAACACTAATTTAATATTAAACACAGCACCATTTACCCCTCCGTTCAGATTTCCACTGATATGATTTGTATTAGCAACATCTCACGAGTAAAAAGGTGAACAGTCACCTGATGAGGGTAATATTTTTAAGAAGCAGCTCTAATTGTAGTAAGGGATGTTAAATTGATTATTTTAGAGACAGCTCTATTAGATACTAGAACAGATACAAGAGATATAAAGGGATTACAAGGTGCTACATTCCTCCCGGTGACTTTAACAATAATATGAACAACAGTTGCGCTGAATAAGAAAATGTTCCAAATTTCTATTTCCTTTCAATCTTCTTTATATCTGCTGAGGCTTGAAACAATTCTTTCAGTTATGATGTTATCAATTATCAGCCATAAAAAATGGGAACTTAAAAATTTGTTTCATATAAGCCCCTAAATAGCCAGAAATCGTGTGGAAAAGGAAGGTGACTACATTAGACATACGGCAGTGGATTTATGGGGAAAATTTCCAATCTGCTGCTGGGAGCTATAATGTGTGTGTTGAAGAAAGATAGTAGAATAACATTCTGATTACTGATTAATATTTTAGGTATTCAATTTCCTAATTTTTTTCAAAAGTTAGATCTTGGCTCATGATGTTCAAGAATCTAAATACAATTGCTGATGACTCTGTTTCTCTTTGCCTCTTCAAGTAAAACATTTTTCTTCACCAAATGTTTACATCTTCTACACCTTTGTTTAGATTCACTATTCTTCACTTATTTCTCTCAAAGCTCTTCTTTAAAAACAGTGTTTCTCATTTACATGACTACATGGCATACACAAAAATGACTGTGTAAAGCAAGAAATTTCTTCCAAAATACATAATCTATACACAAATCCAAATTTTTATGTTCATTACTAAATGTGTACATATATAAAGCTCCATGCACTACCAATGAAGCATAAAAAAAAGCCATTGGTTTTGAAGAAAACTCTATGCTAGTTTCTTCAGAATATTTATTTTATGAAGTTGACTAATGGAGCAATAGGACATGAACAACATGAAAAAGTCAGATGCAACAGCAAATAACAAAATAAAAATACACACTTTCTCAATCTTTCTCATAAATAATAATGTACTGTTTGAGATCTTCTAACAATAACCATGAAACACTGCAAAAAAAACCATATCAAAAAGCGATATAAGGGGTATTATGACATACATGTTGCTTTATCATTGAGTGCTCATAAAGAAAATGAGACCTATTCAAGCATTTCAGTTTGGAAGGTTGTCACACACTAATGGCCTATGGTCAGAATTCAGCGTATAAATCTCCCCACATTTTTGAGCTATTCAGTTGTCCAGGCTGCACATTACCAGTAAAACATGATGTCTCTACCTACACTGCGTCACTGATGACAGCAATATGCAGGTCTTAAATTGTAGTGAAGAAATGATTTTTCAGGGATGGCCTCTGGAAAAGGTACTATGAAAATCTCATCTAGTACTTATTCTACTTCAGAAGATTTTAAGCAAACAAGAAAGCCTTCCCTTCTATAATGTAAACAACTCATTTTGGGGATGAATACGATGTGCTTCTCTTAGTTTTCCTTTTTGTAAAGCATCTTCAAAGGTATTTTATAAAACCAGCAGAATTTAGCTGAAAAATGTAGGCAAGACATCAATACCAATGAGTTTTTCAAAATAATGCTTTTGTGCTTGCTGTTTTCTTAAAAGAATTTATTTAAAAAAAATAAACCAAAAACCCAAGTACCTATTTTGAAGAATTCTTGAACTAAATTTTAGTGGTTTGATTAATTCTAGTACAGTATGTTAAGTTTACAAGTTCTGCTTCATTTTAAGAAAGCAGTACCTCACTAAATGCTTTCATGAATAGACTTTCAGCCATTTTCTTCCAGTGCTGGTATAAAATCTCTCCTAAATCAAGTCCTATTAAAAGGAAGATAATTTTGACTAACCCTGTATTCAAATGTGAGAGCATTCAGACAGCAAGAGCCCTTCAGCATAATGGAAAGCCAGTTCTATCCAAGTCATAGTATGTAAGAAGGAATGATGCATGAAAAAATTGAAAGGAACAGAAAAAATGAGGTGCAAAGAGCTGCTTTATAGGACAGCCAGGCTCTGCAGGACTCTTCAAGCATAACAGGATTTGCCTTCTGAGCAAGAATCTTTGGATTACCAGACCTGAACAACTGAGTAGAGTTCATGTAGAAGAGAAAGGGGGGAAAAAAGGCCATTGGAGTATATCAGCATAAGAAGCCATGGCTAAATGCAGTTTTCCGTGGGCATCAACAAATGGGGTGCAATCAGCACGGTGATGCATTGCAGCCTGAACACATCAGTCCTCAGAACAAAGCTACTGTGCACCAACTTAACTGCTCTGACACAGCACCACCTACCACTGCCTTGTCTGTCTTTGGCATGTAAGTCACACCCAGTGCATTGCCAAAATATTATTATAAGAGCTGCTACACAAATCCACCATTCCAGCTCTTTTCCCAAGGTGTTAATTATTAGTTCAGTTTATGACAAAATTCATACCCTCTTTAGGCTTAAGTACTTTTCCAGACTCCCACAAGGACTTCTGATTTTGCAATCTTTTTCCAGTCTGTCCTGCCTTTGACTGAGATGGAGTTAATTTTCTTCTTAATCACTGTTACAGCGCTGTGATTTGGATTTGGGATGAGAACAATGCTGATAACACACTGATGTTCTAGTTATTGTCAAGCAGTATTTAGAGTCAAGGAAGAATTTTCAGCTTCTCACACATCCCACCAGCAAGCAGGCTGGGAAAGACAAAAAACTGGGGGGTACAGAGCCATGACAGCTGACCCAAACTGGCCAAAGGGATATTCCACACCACCCTGTCTCATATTCAGGATATAAATCTAGGGGGGAAAAAGCCAGCTGGAAGCCACTGCCTGGGAGAAGGCTGGGCATTGGTATGAACAACCTGAGTTTCACTTTCTCCCCTAAAAAATGTCATGTATGGTTTGGTTTTGTGGCAAGGAGCACTTACCCTGCTGCCCCTGCGGCGTTTGTGAGATGATGAACTGTGCTGGCTGCAAGTTGGTTGTTGGATGCACCAACACAAACTGTTGCAGGTTGAGATTCTGCTGCTGAAGCTGCTGCAAGTGCTGCAAATCCTTAAGGAAATGGGAAGGGGGAAAAAAAAAAAAGAAGACAAAAAATCCAGAAAAAAAAGAAAAAAAAGAGAGAAGACAAAAAAAGAAAAAAGGAAAAAGAAAAAGGAAAAAGAAAAAAGAAAAGAAAGAGCTGTGTGTTAGACATGTAAGTCAGCAATAATTCCCAATATAAGATTTCCTATCAGCCAGCTACACTCTAACATTTAGAGAATAAGTAGATGTCAAACACAGCAGAAGTCCTGCTACTGAATATCCTTTAAAATGGCAATTTGAATTTCACTTTCATTCATAAAACCAAAATTATTTACTAAATAACCCAGCAAAGTATATCCAGAGCTGTTCTGCTTTAAAAACAAAAAAACCCAATCAAATCAATCTCCCTTCCCCCATAAATTCAGGAGTTTTCAAATACATTAAACTTATCAACACAAAGATCTCTCAAACTTATTTTTTGAGGATGGAACTCTGCTACAAATCAAGCATATTAGCTGGGAGCTTTTTTTTTTTTTTTTTTGTAACAACAATCTAAAATTACCATTTGAATCAACAACAGGAGAGCAAAATATTAGATTCCTTGTTTGCACTCTGGTTGTTCAGTTCAAATTTCAGAAAGTAGCTAACTCAATTAGTAAATATATTTCATTTGTTCTGAAGCAAATTACAATAAGCTTAATAGATATGACTATAATGAAAGGTTAAAAGGAATAATCCAAAACACTGCATTATTAAAGAAACTTACTTTTATGTATTTAAACCATTCAGGACTATTAATTTTCTATAATTAAATAAGAGGTCTCAATGTAAAATGTTAATCTCTGAGAAACTGAGTTTTCAAGAAAAATGCTTCAACTTGGCATTTAGCTGGAGAATGAAAACATAGAGAACTGCTTCAAAATCGTTCCCCCTAAATAACCTTTTCCTTTTCATCTCCAAACAACAAAATATCAAGAGCAACTGAAATTTAAAAAACACTGTGAAGTCAACGAACATAACAGTGGTAATCCATGAAAACTATCTAAACACACTTATTGGATTTTTCCATCCTTCCAGGAAGAATCTATTTCAAAATACTCACCGAAGAGGTGGAAAAAAAGCCTGAATGAAATAGTTCCCACACTTGCAACCGCCCATTACACAAACCAAAGCAAGAAGACAAAAACACTCCCCCAAGGCTCTGTTTCAGGGAAATCCTTCAGGTCCCTGTTTGCAGAGAAACTGTTCAGCTGCAGCAGTGCCTGTGTGGCTGTTGGAGCTGCTCACCTTCCCACAGCCCCAAACACCTGAGTTCAGGTGAGCCAGAGGAACAAAGAGCTGCTCCCATAGCTGCTCCTTCGGCTGATGCAGGTTACTGAGCACTCCCAGAACCTGCTCAGCCAGGGGATGGGACAGGCCATTCACTGCCAGCAGTGGATTTGGAGATGGGAAGTCAAGACAGACTGACAAGGAGAACTTCTTTCTTACACAATGCTGTTATCTGTGACAATATATTGTTTTAAATCTGTTAAAACTGTAACTTGAAACTTGCAACAATCTCCTTCTGGAGATGAGGGGTGGGGAATGTCAGAAAGGAACAGAAAGGAAGACTAGGGAGAGGAAAAAATAGGGAGTCCACTGATTTATGAGACTATAGACAGGCTTTATAAGAAAACGACTACTTAACCTGCATTACACAGACACTGGTCATCAATCACTTGGGCTACTTAGCCCTGTTAAGTCAAAAGCATGCAGTGTAATAATATGGTAGACAGACACCAGATGGATTGATCAAGCAATGCTCTTTAAGAAATGGAAACTTCCATTTTATAAGACAATGGTAAAATTTGAAAAAGTGCCCATGAGCAAAAAAGTGGTTTTAAAGTCAATAGTACTGTGTGCTTTCAGAAAATTGCAGAAATAATGCAACCATTCCTATGAAATCAAGGCAAATTTCCTTCTTGAAAGAGAGCAATAATTACTCCAGTTCTACCCTGCAACTCCATGTTTCTTATTACTTTATATCCCAATATCACATTGGTCAGAACTGCTACCAAAACCTCTTACTTCTTGAGCTCATACAACATCTCCACTCATTTATTCATCGATTTTCAATGCTCAGCTGGTTGCCTCTGCAGATTGTGCTGACCCTCCAGCTCAGAGGGGGCTCATACTGGAATGGATGTGAGGACTGGATGCAGAGTTGAAAACAGAAATGGAAAGAGTTGGGCAAGCTGACTCAGGTTGTGGACACTGGGCAGAAGAAAAGGAAATAAAGAGAGGCTCCAGAATGAAAATACAGGTAGATAAGAGAAAAAAACAACCCCATAAACACCAAAGAAAGAGTTGGGAAGACACTGTGGAAGAAAAAAGTATCAATGGAAAAACAGATAGGTTAAGGACCTCTCCCAATCAAAAGCAAACAAATGAAATCACCCCAGATGACCAAGGAGATCTCCGATGATTTGAAGCACCCCCACAGGAGATGGAGTTACATGCAAGAAAGAATACAAAGAAACAGTGGCAGTGTATCTGTAAGATCAAAGGAGGAGAGCTTTTTGTTTAAGACTATAGTATTCATAACACTGGCTACCCAGCCAAGACATGACAGCTCTTATCATCAGGCTCTTACACTTTAATATGAGAAAACTGTTTTTAAATTGAGGCCTCAGGGAGAACTGATATAAGCAATCTTATTCTGTGCATCTGCCTTGGTAAATGGTATGTTGGCTAAGTCTTGTTTAAATACAGAAATATAATTCTGCAACGCAAAATGAAAATTATACCTCCAAGGCTAATCACTTCTAAATAGCCCTACCAGCCCCTCAAATGCATTTGAAAACCAACTTTATTTCCACCTTGGGAAAGTTTTTTTTATTTAGTTAATTATGCCATTACAATAAATCTCCCAACAGCAAACACACAAACAAACCTGACACTGTTTTCCTATACTGATCTTTTTTCCTCAGTGTTAAAATCTGTATGCTAGCACAAGCACATGGAAAGGGATGGAAAGACTTTTCAGGGAGACATGCATGTCTTCTGGTGCTGCCTAGTAATTTAGAAAGATCTAAACAATCCAAATCCTACCTCAGCAGAATAATCTGTCAAGTGCTATGTCTTGCTGTGAGGAAGATTTCTGTTTTTTTTAAAAAAAGATTGCCTAAATTTCTAAATTCAATGCCATTATTTCCAATTACAGCTTCAGAACAAACTTAAGCATCTGACTCATTTTGAGATTTATATCATATAAATACAGAGCATAGATCCTTAAAACAGGGAAGTTTATAAAAAACCCCAAAAGTTGACACACAACTGTTTAGTGTCATTCCAGAGCAGCACGAGCTCCTCACCAGGCTGCTGCAGCAGATACCTTACATGAACTGCAGTGCACATTAAAGAAGTCAGGCTTTTGCAATTAGTTAATTAAAATAAATATGGTAATCCCCCTGCTGCAGAGACCTGCCAGTTAATCAATTATTCAAAAACCATCAATTAAAACAAACATTCAGCTATTTGTATAATCAGCTATATATTTACAATAGCAACACAAACAAAGCCGAGCACTGCTTACAAATCCTTGCCAAGATGGATCAAAAAGCATGGTGCTATCTACCTGTGAACCTAGATGGTAGATGATTTCCATAAGTACCTCAAAATTATATCCAACACCTGCACAATTTATGCCCTGCACTTTCATCATAAGGAGCAGTTAACAAGATCCAACCAAGCTCATTTATATATCAAAATAACCTATCCTAAAAGACATTAATTGTAAAGTCAAACATTTCAGTAATTAGAAACGTCAGAAAACAAGTACAACTTTAATTTGTTCTTCATGTGGCAACTACAAGATCACATGTTATTTTTCATAGAGCCTTTAGCTCACTCTGTGCACGAATCAGACAATGCTGCCTTCAGAAATTCTTATTTGACAGCACATGCCTGATATTTTCAATTCCTCTCAAACACTTTTCTGATGATTTTCTAAGTTCTGAAGAAAAAGCCAGTACAAAACTAGTAATTGTAAAAGCTTCACACATTTTCAGAGTGAAATTTGCACTGAGGTGGGAGAGCAGGATTAGAAATGTCTCACATGCATCACCACTGGTATCCACTGCTTTGGTGGCCTGTTTGACAAACCTAGTGCCAGACAGTTCAAGGCACAGATTTTGTTAATAGGAAATTTTAGGCCACCACACTTCAGTGAAGCAGACCTTGCTATCTTAAGCTGCACACCTGGAAGAGGAGAGGCACACCTGTGGATTGCTTACATACATGTTAAAAGACTCACATCCCATCAAATGGGAACTCTGTGACAGATGCATGGAAAGAAGATGTCAGAAGCTATAACCAACAACTTTCTCAACTAGGATACTGCCCATTCTCTTCTTGAAATCTGCCTGTATTATTGCCTACAGACAGTCTAAACAAAATGGAGATATGATCTTGAGAACTACAAGTTTCTTTGAATGCTACATCCTTCAGTCATCTCTACATCATGCCAGTGAAGTGGAATCTTTAGCTAAAAAAGCTGTTATTTGGTGACGTGACTTCTCACAGTGCAACAAGAGCTTCAGTGGGAGGAATCTCATCAAAACAGCAACATCAGCCCTCGCCTTTTAAAACCAGGATGGCACCACTCTGGCCTCTCCAAGGACAGCCAGAGAGGTCAGAACTTCTAGACCAGCACCACAAAAGTTTGTCACTTCAGCTAATGAAAACCTGATAGCACAGCCAGGCTGCTGTTACTCAGCTAGTGGACCAGCACAGTAAAGGACTGAACATTTCACCACCGGACTTCACATACAATTGCAACATTTCCATTCTTGTACTAAATCAGACCTTATGTTCACTTTTTGGACACTTCATCCTGTTGAACGCAAGAGAAAATAGCCTGAACAGAAAGCATCAGTCTTAAAGAACTTGGTCATTCTATGAAGCAACAACTTTGAAGATTATATACCCCACACACTTTGCACAGCTAGACTAAGAAAACTTATTACGTACCAAGAGCTTTAATCTATGGAAAGAGGGACCTCAGCATGAGCAAGACAATGACCTACTCATAGTACTTAAGATGTCTAAGCTGCACATTTGATTATCTTGTCCACAGCTCTAAGGATTTTCCACACTGCATACACTAAGCACAGAGTTAGCGCCACTGCAATCTCCACACTGAATTAAGTCAGCACTGGAAGACCCAGGAGGTTCCTTACTGCTTCTAGTAAGCAGAACACCCACACAGAGCAGTTCTTCAGAACTGACAAGTCTTTAGTACCAGACCATGAGACTGGACAGATTCCAACACCAGACTCATTCTCCAAGTTTCTCTCCAGGCACACAGGAGTGCCTATTCTTTGTCATGGAAGCTACAGCATTAAACACCAAGCCAAAACAGCACACAAACAGGTCAAGTCAAACTGCTTCTAACAAGCACCATTTGGGTCTGACAAACATCCTTTTTGATACACAGGCATCACTTCCCATCCATGCAGGTCTCAACAAGTGCAACTTCTGTGGGCATCTTTCCATACCCTTTTTTCTCCTTTCTCACACTAACTACAAGGAGGAAAATTCAGAAAACACAGCATCTACTCAGATTCTGGTACAAACTCAGAAGCCCAGTGGAACTGAGGAGCAGCTGGCACACATTCCTCGCTAAGACTATCAAACTTCAACCTCATCATCCAACGATGCACGAGGACAGACTAACAATACTCCAGGACTCTGGCAAGTCACTGAGCGAGGAACAACAAATTTTATTCGAATGGCGCAATCAGTCAAAAACCTCTTTTGTTTTCCACCCTCTCAAGCCTCAAGGCTCACCTGTGCAATCTGTATTGGCTGAGATAGAGGGATCTGCGTCATCGGCGTCGCAGCAGAGGCCGAGATGGTGGCACCAGCAGCGCTGTGCTGCTGACTGGCTGAGTGCTGCACTGCAGCCGCCAGCAACTGGGCCTGCGCCTGTTGGAGCAATAACTGTTGCTGGGCTGGCGTCAACGTGAGCTATAAACAATTAGAAAACACAGCCATTAATAACGGGAAGAGCCACTTCAGCTACAAAGTCATTAGATAGCTCAGTACTAGTTATGGTAACCAGGCTGTCCTAGGGCTATTCCACTGACTGGCCAAGGAAGGACAGCTGGCTACTCGATCCAGTGTAGGAACCAACCTACCACAGGCCTGACACAAACCAAACTGCACCACCACCAACATTTGCACTTATTGGAACCTACAGAACCTAACTCTGCTCCTAAGTTTTCCTCACAACTCTACCAGGAGTTTCAGGGAAAAAGCAATTAAGTAGCAAGCAAAAGAAAAGAATCAGTATTGCCAGGATTTGAAAGGAAATTTACACCCAGCAGAACAGCAAGTGATTAGCCAGATGAATGTGAAGCAGGAATGCTGGCTATGGCTACTGAACAAACTGATAACGCCCCAGCTGCTTCACATTAGCATGAATCCCTGCCATATTCCATCATTTCCATTATGCCTTAAGATATAAGTAAAGAACATGAGCTCCATTTGTTTCTCTCCAAGTCTCCCCATCTGCCTTTTTTTTTTTTTTAATAGAATAGAGTTGGCAACTTTACATCCCTTCCCTTTCCCAAGCACACATTATCTCTGTGGAACAGGTGGCAGCAGTCTCTCCTTTACATGTAAATGAATCTTGATGCCCATATTTACTGCAACCCATATCTGCATAGGCCTGGAGTTTTGAATGTTTCACTACAGCAGACAATCATGAATTAAAACAAACCAGTATTTTCTGAGAATACAAAAAATAATAAAATTTGCCAGGTTTTAACAACACATCGAAACAGTCTCACTTTTAAAACTTTCAGTGCTTAACTGAAAACTAAATAGGATGTTTATTTACATAGTAACATAGGAGAAGATTTAGCAATTGAGCCTGAGATTAAGAAGTCATTTTATGCAAGTGTAGGGATGATCTAACCTAACACTTCAAATCATAAATATATTGTTGGAGCAACTGCCCTAAGCTTATTAACACGCAAACTCTCATACTGCAAAGCTGATAATGTGGAAGCAAATTCTTTAACCAGCCCATTCACAAAACTTGCTCTTTTTTGAAATGACTGAAAGCCTTTACAACAATTCAGAAACACCAGAAAGTCTAAAACAACAATGATCCCATATATACTCCCAAAGCATTGCAATTTAAAATCCCTCAAAATCAGCAGGTTAAAACAAAAGGGTTCAACAGGCTTAAGGAAAGTACTAATAGAGTTACTTAAAAAGAAATGTGTTGAAGAAGACAAAAAATTAACAATTCCCATAATTTTTGTTCTTTACCCAGCTATAAGATTCAGTCTTGTTCTCCCATGCCTCATTTTAATCTTAAAAAAAAAAATCTCTCTATGACATCAGCGACTGTCTCATTTGTAACTGTTGTCAAACCACAGGTTTTAATTTCATTGCAAGGTCAAAAGGGATACTGAGAACAGAGAGAAAGAATTCTTTGTTGCTGATGTTCGGAAGCAAATACTTAGCGACAAACCCCAAATATTACAGTCTGCTTATTTTTCTAGCAAAATATTTCCTATTGCCCCTTCTATAGAAATTTCTCCCACATTAAGGAAGTTGTGCCTTTCAATGATACCTGTGTGGGACTGCAGCATCCCTGGGTAACTCTTACCCCGGTGATCTGTCCTCCGGCCAGCATGAGCTGGGTCTGGGGTATGGCCGCCTGCACTGAAGGCTGCTGGGAAGGCTGGCTTGGCTGCTGAGAGTCCCCAGATTCTTCATTAGATTTAGACTAGTCAAAAAAAAATACAACTCTTTATAGTGTAAAACAGATGTTAATGTATGACGCTGCTATCTCAACACTGCACAATAAAAATCTTTCATCTGCATACGAAAAGCCCTTGGGTTTATTTTAAGAGTGTGTTTAAGCAATGGCTCTGTGTGCCCACCATCTCAGCTACGATTGCTGAAACACGTCTGTAGGTAATGCAGCTTAAACAAAACAAAGAGACTCTCTGGTCTCCTGTAACTCTCTGACATTATTTTCAGGTCTCACTTCATTTTACACCATGCAACTGAAGCTGACGCTACCTTTCACCATGAAGAAAGAGAAGGTTGTTAAAATTATTCATTGCCTAAAATCCTGAACAATGGAACAAGGGAAAGGAGATTGTGTTTCCATTTTCTCTGTCTCCATCCTGTACCTCTAAGTCATCAAACTGTTGGCTTATACAGAACCTTTTTGAAAAATACTCACAGGTTTCTATACCTACAAAAAGATATATTATATATACAGTGCTTTTAAATACTCATGCATTTATTTAATTGCATACTGCTTTATTCTAAAAGATTCAAGTTTATTTTGATTTATTCTTGTGGTTTGGTTGTTTATTTTTTTAAAAAGAAGAAATTGTGAAGACACGAGGGAGGAAATGCAAGTGCATGAAGAGGGGGAGAGAGTTTTATGATAATTAAAACTGGTTATGCAGAACATTACAATTCTGCATAGATTTGCATATTTTCCACCACCTGTTTTGGGGACTGCAGAGCGGGCTAATTAACATAAAGGCTCTGATTAATTCTGCCAGTCATTGAGCGATAATTACAGCACAGGACTGTAAACATTCTGCACTGGAGATACAGCCTGTTTGCCAACATCTCTCTCAGGGATGGAAGTTTACCATGGCAACCAAGGCAATTTTCTGCCTCCTTCCTCTTAGAAAGGAAGGTCACTATACCTCCTCTTCTTTCCAAATTGTTATTATGTATAAGTGGGTCCACATTCTATTGCATTTCATGTAATGCACTACCTACATTCTTTAATAACATGCAATACTGAAACCAGTTTTCAATAAAACTGCATCCCTTGCCCCTTAATATAGTTCAGAGAGGAAGCAGAATGCTAACAGATAAACTGAAGCGTTCAGCATCATAGGAAAGTTTGAAAGCTCAGCTGTCTCACGTACATTATTAAACAACAATTACTCTGACTTTGAAATCACTGTGTGTTATTTACACAAGCAGTCTGAACTAGCCACATTATATAGTTAATGCTACATTATATTCCTATATACAGTTACAAGAAGTAAGGACAAATTGCAAATACTCACTACATGTTTAAAGCAAGAAAATAAGCAGAAGAACATGAAATATTCCTGGAGTTTTAAGGTTTACATGATGCCACACCTGACTAAAACTCAGCATTACGTTATCGTCACTCCATGTTTTAAAGAACTCCAGAGCCTGAATGCTTACAAATCCTGAACCTGATTTACAGTTGTACAAGTGTTATTCCTTCAAACCTATCACTTGCAAAACCAGTCAGACTGAAACAACTGAGTAAGGTATCATAGGTTAAGAACTATCTCTACTGATGCTGTTTGGGATGAGAGAATGATGAGCAGCAGAAGGTAACTGTCTTTACCTGTACATTTAAGGACTGAGCAGCAGCCTGTAAACTTGTTCCAGCGAGCTGGACCTACAACAGTGCAAAAATGGAAATGAAATAATGTAGAATCCATAGAAAACTAATAATGTAAAAAGAACAATCTCCCCACCCGCATTCCAAAAAAATTCCCCCAAGAACAGAGCATGCTCCTCTAACACCTGAATCAGTAGAACAGGGGTTGTACCCCCGGCTGAAACAGATGTGCAAGACCTTTCATGATGTTTTTTATCTACCTCTTACTGAAGGCACCCCTGCCTAAGGATGTGGATATTACGATGGATGGAGTTGAAACAGAGCATATTGGGGTGGACAGGTCAACTAGTCCTATTCCTGCTGGAAAAGTCCAGGCTCCAGGGCAGGGAATTAAGCTCTACTCATCGTCATCCTACTCCCATTTCAGAACGGGTCTTACCCCAACACTGCACTCACCAGCTTTCTGATATGAGCAAGCACATACACAGCACAGAACCCAGAGCATGACCATTCTCTCAAATTAACCCATTCAAGTATTTGCAGCCCTCAGCCACTGAAAAGAAGATCTCAACACGGAGCACTGGAGACACTTTATAAAGGCTGTATTGATTCAGGTATACTTAAAACCTGAATTCGATGTTTGTAATTAACAGGCCCAGAGGTGGTCATGTGGGTGAGCAGCAAGGAAAAATGGATGATTCAGAAAGTGAAATTTTTGGGGTGCTTTTTCATCTCTAATGGGGAGTTCCTCTTAAGAAAAAATGCTCTCTTTTCATTTCCTGAAACCCATTTGCATCAGTCTCGCCTTGTTTCTACCAGCACTCCTAGTTATAAAGAAGGAATGCTCTGTAATTAATTAGCAACACTTTCAAAAGTCAGAGCAACAGCCTGTAGAGAATTCCATAATTCCATCTCTGGACATGTTTGAAAACCACTACTCATTTGAAAATCAGATGACACGTAAAGATACAATAAAGCAAAGCAAAATGCAGCACTCTTGCCTCTAGATGAAGGACCTCTATATGGCCCCCACACAGAAAAGTCCACATATTTTCAAGCACAGGAGAAACTGCAGTACATGAAATTAATAACTGAATATTTTGAACAGGCAACCTTGGAAGAGTCACCTTGGAAATATTTCCTACTGCTTTAGATGAAGGTACTAGACATACTAAGCATGATCTACATCAAAGTAAACACTCCTAGAAAATCCCCTCCTCATGAGAAGCAAAATACAGTTTGACACAGTCGATGGAGTCTGTGCTTTTACCATGGATTAACAGCAGAGAATAGCCTAAATAACACCACCCTGACATCCAAACGATATACTCAAAATAATACTTTCAAATTACACAAACACCACATAAAAGACTACAAATACATAATGATTGCTCAGGTACAGCCAGCACATTCCTGAAAATCTCTGTGAATGCCATTTAGGCATGCCTTTCACCAGACAGCCAGCATTTCCAAATTAGAAATGCTGAATGCTGCCTACAGCCCAGTATTTTGCATTAGTCTAGAGCAAAGCACTGTGTGTTAAGGTTGAATAACACCCCACTAACAGCAGCCTCACTAGCAGAGGACAGTTTGACAATAGATTCCCACACACCTGCAGGTGAATAAAAGAATACCTGAGATTTTCCTTTGAACCAGTTTCAAGAAATGAATCACACTTTATCAAACATGAAGTTATAAAGATCTTGACAACTGTTTAAATAAATAAATTTCCAAAGCACGATTAAAGTACTGTGCAAAACCCAATTACTGTCCTGGGTCAATCTATAGAACAAAACAAAGACTAAAACAAACACACAGAATTCTGCAGAACAGCTGCATCTGTCTCCATGTTAAACACACACTGGCAAGCCATAAAAACTAGTCAGCTTCTCTCCACATAAAGGCAGCCTACAACAGCCTATTGGTTCAGCAAATTCAAACAGTGGCACTCCCTTAGTCCTATATAAACCAATCTGCTAGGAAAATTGCAATTATGTGACAAGACGTGTGGAATGTTCCATACAATAAAACGGCAGTTCAGAGCTCTTAAAAGAGGGCATAAAAGCTTCAGTACTTCAATTATACCACAATAACTGTGCAACCTCAGACCTCAAACATTCAAGGTCATCCAATTAGGTACAGTATTTTAAAGTTTAACTTGGTGCAGAGGAAGGGAAAGAAATTAGGACATTTGTTTTCATACATCAAGTGCGAACAGATAAAAAAACTACAAAAAAATGCCCCTTATACTTCTCTTCACCTAGGGATGCCCCATTTTGCTTCAGCCTGCATCTGAAGTTCAGCTTTGATTCCCTAAACACAGTAGCAGCAGAACAGAAGGATAGTATTAGAAGTATGAATATCATCTGACAAACAGGTCACTGAAATAACTTTTTTGTAAAAAAATAAAACCTCACAAGCCATATATGCTTAGTAAGTACAATCAACTTTCTTTCTAGTTAATGTGCAAGAGTGTTTTTAACTAGACAAGTGACAGTTTTGGACCCTTGGGAGCCATTGGGCCAATACAATCCTTTCCTAAAAAATTTAAATTTTTTCTTGCCTTTCAACGTGGTATCTCTATTAAGGTTTAAAACAACAAAACAACAACAACAAAGCACCTACTCAAAACCATACCACAACATTTAGGCATTTTCAAGTCCCCAAAAATGTGATTTGTAGTTCTCCCCAAGAGGTCCCACCTTATCTTGACATGTTCTGCAGCCTACTGTAATGAAGGGAATGCCACCATTAGGACTTTTTCCCATCCACGCTCATTAACCAGGTGGTGTACCAGATTTATGTTCTAATAAATGACTCACTATCATTCACAGAAACAGAGAACATGGAACACACCAGGGCAGCTGAGTCTCCTCTGTTTGAAATGTCTCTTCTCTTACCTGATGAAGGTGCCCAAGGAAGGCCTGGGCCTGGGCTGTAGAGATTGCTCCTCCGACAGGCACAGGCTGCTTTTGAAAGTCCAGGCCATTTGTTTGCGTGCCTGGAGAAAGAGAGACATTGAAAACTATTAACTACTTCTTTTAGCAAGTGGAATAAGAATTAACACTCCAACTTTCCTGCTATTCTCTCAACATTATATGGTAAAAAAATACTCTGAGAGTAACAAGAATTGCTTTTTTTTAGTGAAAGCAGGGTGGGAAGCAGAGCCGAGGCTTCAGTAACAGAGCATTTGTCAGCTGAACAAAATCAACTTCATATTTTCTTTAGCTTCCAGCATCTATTTGTGTCCCCTGAAGATATTTAAAAGATGTGGCACTTAGGGACATGTTTTAAAGGGGGACTTGGCAGCATTAACAGTTGGGCTTGATGATCTTAAAGGTCTTCTCCAACCTAAACAGTTCTAAGACTTGTGTTTCTATGTACACTACTATCCCATCACTCTCTACACAGTTTGAGAATCAAATTGGTGCTTGCTGCTATGATTAAACTGTGTTTCCACTCTCCATGCACCTTCAATCCAATAGCTGAAGACTAACTTCAAGTTCAGGAAGTGCCAACAGCAAGGTTCATATAAAAGCCACCTTTCCTAAAAGACAGGTAAAATAGCACTTGATGAAAACAGAAGTCCCATCTATATACAGCAGTTATGGGCCACAGTTTTACTCTTTCCAGAAATGACTCCTCCACATTTCTGTTAAAGTTTGTTCGAGCTCTCATTAGATAAGATAACTGCCTTGACTTGCTTCTGCTTCTTCACTTACTCTCATGTAACTAAAACCGGGTTATTTTCCTACATTTTTGCAATCTTTTCCTAAACTGCTCGGAAGATATGAAAACCTCCCAGTTATCACAAAATAATTTGGGTGTGAGAAGAAAAGGAAAAGAAGAAAAAAACAAGTGGTGGGTTTTTTTGTGCGATTTTTTTGTTTGGTTGGTTGGTTTTTTTGTTAGTATCCACAGGAAGGGCAACTCCAAGTGTGTTGGGCTGCAGGGAATTTCTAGAACAGATGATGCAATCTTTAAAATTGCATGACTGAAATGAAGCTAAACCAGCTTTAGACTGGCATGTTTATTCATCATGACAATCAGATTTTGTTCAGTGCCCACAGGCAGGTGTGCATAGTAACTCCTACTTCAAAATTCCTTCCATCATCTACATTCTTTGCCATAAAAACCTAGGTTATCTACTGCAGAAAAGAGTCACAGTTATTGGACAACAACAGGTGGTTGCTGTTCCTTGGAAACATCTGCAAAAGCAAGCAGGCATAAACTGTGATAAGTAAAATAGACTGTCCAATACCTCACACTGCTATTTTGACCTGCAAACAGCTTACACAGGTCATAATTCCAAAGACTGGGCCACTGTTCAATTAAACACTGACATCATATCAAACTTTCTACCATTCCTGTGAAGTATACCTAAGGTGGCCCTTTGGTGGGGGTTCTGTGGTGGGAAGATTTGGTTGACTCCCAAGTTTTTAATTCTATGTTTGGGCCAAGGTTTACAAACTTAAGAGACATACATGCAGCCAAAGAGCCACAGATGTGTTAAAATTATTCCAATTTTTAAACTGCATCAAACTATTTAGTTTAATTAGTCTAAAATTCCAATTCAAAGTGAATATAGGGACTCTCACTGGTCTGAATTGCCCCTGAAGGAATGCAACTTGGTTGCCTTTCTCCAAAGAATGGTATATAAGACGGTCTGCTGGAAAGAGCCAGAAGAATCTCATCTATCTTCATTCTTTCCAGCAAACTTCAGAATTCTCTCCATGCAGAAGTACAAAGGGAATGAAAAAGGAGTTGGCTGAATATTTAAAATTATTCCTGACAAATAGCTACTATAAGTCAAAGGAAACAACCTACCACCTCCTCATTTAATCAAAGGTTTTGAATTACTTTTCAATGGTCAGGGAGTGAAAAAAATACAGATAAGAAAACCTACTGGAGGGCAAATACTCCTCATTCCAACAGGAAACTTGTGGGGGTTAAAAAAATTATCTGTTTCTGAGAGAACCAGCTGCAGGCCTCACCTTAGGTAAATAGGTGAAGCTGTTCCACTTAACTATCTTCCAAAAAGAGCCTCAAAAATCATGATACCATGTTAAAAAAGCACTGCTCTGTAAGTGTGCAGAAGAAATGTTCCAGTTAGCAGGTCTGTTGACTCTTAATATGGAAATCTGAAAAAAGCCTCCTAGGTGATAGTTTAGAACAAAGCAAGCTCCAAAACTTTGCTTAAAATCCTCATGGCTCCCAACAAACAACTTAGGCACTGAGAGAAAACAACATTTTCTTTAAATTCAGTCTTGAAAGACATCAACTCCCTCTCCCCAGGCCTCCAAAACCAAACTCAGGGCGAAAAAATCCACATCACTCCTGCTCACTCTCTGTTCTACTACTGGCATCTTAAACTCTCTCTGGTATTTGGAAGCACAATGTATCTTCCCCTCTGGATGCAGCCTTAATTTTGGAAGGAATGCTACCCTGGATGCTTGCATTTATCACAGAATGCCCATGTCTTTTGAAGAAGAGCAAGGAAAATGAATTGAGTCCAGCATATGAGAGAGCTTGCTTTTAAGGTGCTCAGTAGGATGTGGCACCACTCCCATGGGATCTAAGAAATCTGATCAGGATTTGGAAAATGGTGCTGTCAGAAGCAGGTCAGCACGCTGTAAGAACACGAAAGGACTAGTAAGCCACTTTTGCTCAAGGTCAGAGTTAAATACCAAGCCTGTGATGATTAACAGACATGGCAGATACAATCACATGTATCATGATTTTAACAGTCTGGGGTATTAATGCATTTTCCATCTTCATCCCAACTTCTCTAACTGATAGAGCTCGCCAACACCAAAAACAGTCTAAAAAGAGTGGGAATTCTCCACGTCCCATCTCTCCTTTCTTCTTGGTTCCAGCTCCATCTTGGACAGCTCCCTGTCCTGCCCCTTCTGGTAGTTCACCAGTACCGTTTGTTTTGGTCTGGCTGCTCCACCCCCAGCCAGCTATGGGATGGAATTTCACCCTTACAGTCAAGGTCCAATGTAACCCAAGCATGTTTAAATTCAGCCATGTGCTCAGCTACTTCAAAGACTGGAAAATGGTGCTGTCAGAAGCAGATCAGCACGCTGTAAGAACACAAAAGGACTAGAAAGCCACTTTTGCTCAAGGTCAGAGTTAAATACCAACCCTGTGATGATTAACAGACATGGCAGATACAATCACATGTATCATGATTTTAACAGTCTGGGGTATTAATGCATTTTCCATCTTCATCCCAACTTCTCTAACTGATAGAGCTCGCCAACACCAAAAACAGTCTAAAAAGAGTGGGAATTCTCCACGTCCCATCTCTCCTTTCTTCTTGGTTCCAGCTCCATCTTGGACAGCTCCCTGTCCTGCCCCTTCTGGTAGTTCACCAGTACCGTTTGTTTTGGTCTGGCTGCTCCACCCCCAGCCAGCTATGGGATGGAATTTCACCCTTACAGTCAAGGTCCAATGTAACCCAAGCATGTTTAAATTCAGCCATGTGCTCAGCTACTTCAAAGAGCTGGTTTGGATGAAGACTAATACAGTGCTACTCCAGGGAATGGAACAGAACAGTAGATATTGAACATGGATTATTTTTATGGCATTTTGGAATTGTACCTGCAGAGGGTAAAGGCATGACATAGCAGAGCAGGCAAGGTAACATTGCATCTGCAGTCAGGAAAACAACTTACTCTCAAAATTCCAGATTATAATCATCACACTTCAGCCTGAGTTTGTAAACTGCATTAGAAAGGAAGAGGAGTGAGGAGCTCCAGATCAGGGGAGATGTGGAATAAGATGCAAGAAACAACTCAGGAAGGGAAGGCAACCAAGGAGAAGGATGACTTCAAAACCAGCAGGAGTGGGTATCTGCACAGTGCTCTGGGAGACATCTCCCAGCACCACCACATTTTCCCAGGTCACCTGTCTCCACCTCTGCTGGAAGACATAGAGATACCCCCAACACTCAGAAATTGTTGTTTCCCTAGCCACATTTCCTAATACCAAGTTCAGCATTGAAAATTGCCTGATTTTAGCACCTGACAAATAGTTCAAGGTCTCCATATTTTCCCAGGTCACTTCTCTGTCCCCACCTCTGCTGAAAGACAGAGATACCCCCAACACTCAGAAATTGTTGTTTCCCTAGCCACATTTCCTAATACCAAGTTCAGCATTGAAAATTGCCTGATTTTAGCAGCTGACAAATAGTTCATGATCTCTCTCCTATAGATTTCCTTCTTATGGAAACTGAAAAATCAATCTTTGGAAATGAAGCAATGCAAACAAGTATCCTTAGAATCCGTCCAAATACTACACTTACAATAATTATTATTTTGCTGCTGTGTCGACAAATGTCGTAATAGTACAGTTTCCATAGTCATTATAACTTTGGCTTTCACAGTTCTGCATTCACACAGCTCTTACAAGAGAAGATGCATTCAACAAACAAAAAGGTTGAGATGTTTTGGAAAATTTTATGCTGCCTATAAAAAGGACATCAAAAGGGCTGTCCATTTATTGTAAGGTAAGATGTTTTTCTTATGTCTCCTTTCTCCCACAGATACTATGTAGACTGTCTGTCCACAACTGAAGCCTGGAAAAGATTCCTCTAACTGTGCAATACTGATGGCCAGTTGGTCAATACATGTTCTTAAGAAAACAGCCACCCAACAGCTCCTGTTCTCATATGTTTTGGTTGTTGTTTCTAATTGGTCTGAAATATGGGTTGGATTTTTCCCCTTAAAAGTGAAGTCCAGTTAGCACAAAAAATTTAAAGTCATAACATATTTCAGGCACTGTATGGTGACCAATACAATTAGGGGACTTTACAATGTTTCTTAAATAGTCAGAGCTCAAAATAAAAACCCAGGTTTCTTAACTTCCATGAAACTTAGCTCATATCCCAGAGAACTACTGATGTTGTCATCTTTAACAACTGTTGTTTTTTTGTTTTTTTTTTTTTCCTGAGAACACCATGAACATGTAAATTCATGCTCCACAGTAATTTCTCTCAATATTTTCAAGTCGCATTATCTCACTACAGTTTAAAACAGGAATGACCCAAACAAGCAACCACTGAAGTTTAAAAAATAGACTATTAGTGTTTACACAGCAGACTCAAGTGATTTACAAATGTCACTGGAAAGCAGACAGTTAGAGAAAGTTACAAAAATAAGAACTCTGAGTGTTTATAAAAATCATCATCAGGCATTATCTGGGGAGCACAGGCACTGACAGAAAATCAATGGCACTTCCAGTTCCTCAGCATCTGAGCTGAAAGCTGGCTTCTTTTCACTCAAGTATGCACTGAGCCCAGAACCATAATCTAAGTACCCCGATCAGAAGCCTAAAATTACATTCTTTGAGTATTCCTTTCAGAGCCTAACATCTGCCAAGTTGACTAATACAACTGATGCTTGAGCTCCCAAAGAACATCACAAATGCCATCAATCACTATCTCCAGGGGTTTAGGAGCACTACGTTTTAAAACAAAGCAATGACTGCAGAACAGAGAGTCCTCAAAAATTCTAGATTACTTTAGTTCATATAATTCAAAAATCAGGATACAAAACTGGAAGTAAAGACTGGAAGCATTTAAAGAAGCAAAATTTCAGAAGTTTTAAACACCAGCCAGAGTCAACTTTTATAACAACTAACTTTAATGTTAGAGTTATATATTATAAAATGTTAGAGTTATACACTATAAAATATAATATATAATGTTAACAAAGAAGCAAAATTTCAGAAGTTTTAAATACCAGTCAGAGTCAACTTTTATAATAACTAACTTTAATGTTAGAGTTATATATTATAAAATGTTAGAGTTATACACTATAAAATATAATATATAATGTTAAAGTTATATATTATAAAAAACACAGTCATTGTATCCCCTTTTAACATGAAAGGACCTACATGCAGCTTTACAATCCATCCATTTTATGTCATGACCCCCACCTTCACAATGATGAAATATTTGCCTAAGAGACCAGAGCTCTGCTGAAGCAGATGCAATGCTCCTGTGATAACTGGCTGATTACCTTTGAATAAAACAAACCCTCCTCCTTACCAGCTCAGCTGAGGTGAAACTGCTAAAGTTGCACTGGGAGAAGTTGGGAATGCACTCTGGAGAAAGCACATGCAGGGAACTGTGGTCACACAGGGGAGGAAATCTGAATTTTCTCAGAAGTTTACACACATCCTCCAGCTACAAGGAGTCCACAGGGATATTTAAAACCATTGTTCCCTTGATGCTGCTTATGATCATGAAATATTTACGGCCCATATGTTTTTGAAATAATGTTTTATATAAATCTTAAACCCTTAAATACATAATACAACACTTCTGTGCATAAAAAGAATTGATACCTCTCCCATTAAAATACAATGACAATTATAAAACCTGAGTTGCCAGCAACAAAACACATTAATAAGCAGGCAGAATTCCTTTTCATTGAACCCATATATTGGCATAAAAAATCCAACCTCTCAGAAAAAGAAAATTAAATAGTGTTAACTTCATCACAACTCCAGAGTTTAAAATAAAACTCTTATTATCAAACCATGAAGAAGAATATTTGTTTTCCTCATACAAGGTAACCAGACTTCTCTCAAAGCAACAAGTTCCCTCTCATCAGAATTTTATCCTCCCAAACACTATTCTGAGCTGAGAAAAAATTCTAAGCTAGGTTAAACTACTTACTTCCCATTCAGAACTGTCATTTCTCTTGCTTTCAGAATGAGTATTTTATTACCTCCAGAAAGGAACTAAAGCAAGAGATAGCATGATTAAGTTATAGTGGCTCAATGAGCTTCTTCAATGGCTTAGAATTTGGTCACATCTTAAGAGTGTGCCAAAAGGCAGATTGGCCCTGACACAAAATCTGTACTTCCCCACCAAATTTCAAAGTTCTGTTCTAACACACTAAGAAATTACAGAAAAGCTAGCTAAAATTTTTTACAATTTTGATATATTATGCTTTCTCCATTTGACTTGTTCTTGAGAACTGTTGTGACAGCTTGAATGAAATCTAAAACGGAAACAGGATCAGGCAGTGGCCCACATCTGCCAGGGAAAACTTCAACCCAAAAATAAATTATGAAGCTAGAAGTGCCAAAGGTATGCTCTGCCAGGAAAAAATGAGACTATTTATGGAGAGCTAGTGCCACCAGAGCTTCAGTAGTATCAGAAACATTACAGATAGAAAAAGTGGGGAAGGGAAATCTTACATAAAAAGTGTGGATGGTGCTCCAATAAAGTAGGTATGAATAATGCCCTGTATGGAGTAGGGTTAATGACAAAAGTGTTCCCAGGTCTCTAAAATCAAAGGGTGTAGCTTTTTATTTGTTTGGTTTTGTGGGTTTTTAAAATCCCACTAAATAGGTAAAGAAATATTGCATTTAATATCCATTCAATTCCACCAGAATATATCTGCACCAATTGATCATTTCCTACCTGTGTTCCCGTCCCCACTCTCCATCGATGGTTTACTGGTTTCTGACGGATTGTTCATTCTTGAGTCTGCATTAAAACAGAAAGAAAGATAAAACAATACAGCAAAAAATCCCCAAATCTGTTCATACCTTTTTGTTCAAGGGAAGTACACAACAGCAGAAATTTGCTATGTACTTTATCCTAATTAAGATTTATAACACAAAAAAAAAACCAACAACCAAAACACAATACTGAATCTTCCAGATAAATATTATTTCAAAATTTTCTATGACATTATTCTCATATGTGAAAACATGGTATTAAGGGAATAAAAGACAGCATGCTGGAGGGCAGTGATAGGTAGGAACTTAATTTTCAATACAATGACAGTCATGGAAGGAAAAAAAAGGAGGGGGGGAAGAAGGAACAATGATTACACCAAGATTCAAAAACATTAAGTCTGACCATCATGGCCTACATCATTCTCGTGTTTGTTCTCCCTGCCCCACCCCAACAACAGAAAGGAAATTCAGTCATTATAATTAAATGGATGTCATTTTCCTAATACTGCATTTCTATTTTACTGGAATGTCAGTGACATTAAGTTATTTTATATTTCCTATATATTCAGGCAAAACCATACAAATATAAAATAATTCCTCTTCTTTCTCCCTCTGGATGAATGTATTGAAAAGTCTGTTCCTGGTTTCAAAGCCTGTCAGCTGAATACAGTGCAATGCAGAGGGCCTCTCCAGATGGCAGACAGAGAATATAGCTTCCTTATATAGGAATCTATACAGATGTTCTGTGTACAGCATCAGCTTTCCAGCTTATTACCTCCTCATTCCTTGCCACCGACCCCAGTGTGCCACATTATCACAAACTAAAATTACAAAAAGAATCTCAAGACAGAACAGCTCATAAAATGAAGTGTAAGCAAATCCTTGAGCACACTCTTCCATTCCCATAATGAGCTAAAAGCAAGTTCAATGAGCTTAAAATGAACCCTTTACTCCAGGATATTCTCTCGCTAGGTGCTTAAAAGGTTACCTCTGTCATGTACTTTCATCAAAGCAGTGATTTCCAAAATACCAATAGGCTGAAGAAGAATACAGGAGCAGCATTAACTGTGCTGCATCTTTCCCCCAGACAGTTCCAAGAATCTCCAGACTGCCTGGCAGTCCATGAAAGCTGGAAATGAGAAGATGGACTATTGCCATGTGCCATCACCTGCTACTACCAGTGCACAGGAAAGACAGGGACCTGTTGGAGTGAGTTCAGAGGCCACCAAGATGATCAGAGGGCTGCAGCACCTCAGCCATGGGGAAAGGCTGAGAAAGCTGGGGTTGTGGAGCCTGGAGAAGACTCCATGAAGGCTTTACAGCAGCCTCCCAGTACCTTAAGAAGCCTGCAAGAGAGCTGGAGAGGGAATTTTGAGAAGGGCATGAAGTGACAGGGGAGAATGGCTTTAAACTGAAAGAAGGCAAGTTTGGACTGGATATTAGGAATAAATTCTTACTGGGAGGGTGGTGAGACACTGGAACAGGCTGCCCAGAGATGTGGTGGATGCCCCATCCTGAAAGATTTAAGGCCAGTTTGGATGGGGTTCTAAGCAACCTGATATACAGCAAGGTATCCCTGCCCATGGGAGGGGGGTTGGAGGGTTGAAAATGGATAATCTTTATGGTCCCTCCCAAACCAAATCATTCTATGATTCCATGATCAATATTTTTTAAACTAATATAATTTTTTACATGAACAACTGTGGCAGTTGAACCCAACAGAGCCTTGAAAATCCAGAGCACTGTAACAACCACAAAACTTCCCCTGACAAGCTAATACAACCTCTCCAGAGCCTCAACTCTTCTCAGAAAGTTCCTATGCCAATTCTTAAATCTTTCAAATGTTCAGCCACGTGTAAAAGAGATCTGGATTACCAGTGTTACCCTTAGTATAAAGGCAGATGTGTTAAACTGCTTGTTGAAAGGGGGAAGGGATGAGGAGAAACTGCAGCAGAGTGCTGTTGGCCCACACTTCAGCAAGTTTTGCCCCGTTTTTCACAACCTCTGCTTAGTACATTCAAGATACAAATTCAGAGTCTTGAAAAACAAGTTCTGCTAAGGTTGCAGGTACAGAACCTATTGCTTCCAGGCTCCTAATGTTGTCATTTTCCACTTCTGCATAGCATGATTCACACTCTAGAAAGAGAACATGGGTTCCACTGACTATACAGAAACGTCTGCTCTGGACTTGGCCCTCTCTGCTGAGAGATCCATGTTTCTATCTAGACATTGCATCTGTCTTAAATTGAGTTTATTGTTGTGACAACAGCACATTTGTTTGGAGTGATTATAGGCAACATGCATTTGATAATCAGCATTACTTCATTCCTTTACACACAAATGGCTTCTGAAATTTCACTTTAGAGAACACTAAATGGCAGTCCTTTGCTTTGGACACAAATACGAACAGTCTTTATCCAAGGGGAAAAAGAGCAGAGAGTTCTTACAAGTCAAATACATTTGGTGGAAACCAGGCTAACTCATGAGGCTACTGGACATAGGATGTAATTTTTAAGCCCAAGGTAGAAGAATAGCTTGAAGATACAACTGACCACGAATGGGAAGAGCACAGGCTGAGAAAGTTGTCTCTCAGAAACATGGAATTCATTTGCTGAACCACTTCAGAAAATTCATCTTAGAAAAACAACAGAGGGCCTCCTGTTTGTTGCAGGAATTGAAGTATTAGAGCCAAGAGCCTCCTGTTGCTAGTTTGTTGCAGGAATTGAAGTATTAGAGCCAAGGTGCAGGCTACTCATGATAGAATAAAGCAAAGCAAACTAAATCCAGAGGTGGGACACAGCTGTCCTGTGCACAGAACTCAAGCAGGGCAGTCACTGTTCCATCCCATGAGGAAGCTCACACAAGAAGCCTTCCTACATGATGAGCAAGTTTGCTCAGTCACACAAAGTTATAACTGTACAGACCTCTTTCCAAAAAGCAAGCCAGGACACGTTTTTCTGTCAGGCTATGCTGCAAAATACATTCTTCTAGAATAGGTTTTTTAGTACTAGACATACACAAAGTTTACTTAACTACCAAAAGCCTGTCTAAATGAAGAATATTTTATTGTCAAGATCCATCCTTAACAAAGACCTCAAACATTGCTATTGAGAAAAGCAGCAAGTTAGAAGAAGAAACATCTTTCTGGTAGTGCTCAGGTTCAAGCGAAGGATAGCATCCATTATTTCACCAGCTGACTATTTCTTGTTCAATCTGTGGGCCTTCTGCATGTAAAGCATCAAGAACAATGCAGCTATTTCCATTGCAAATGGTATGACATCCATCTGAAGCACAAAACTGCTACCAGCAAAACAGGCTCGTATCCGCGGGATACTCAACCTACCGATTCATTCTATGTTGAATAAAAAGGCTGCTTGGTTTATACGTGCTCGTGCAATTTCTGCTTCAAACTTAAAAGAATAAACAAATGAAGTGGGCTAAAAAAACCCCGAGCCTTAATGCCTTCACCTTTTTTTCTTCCTTTAGATCTTCCTTGGGTTTTAAATAAAGGCCCTGGGCTACAACTTCTGCCAACATTGTCTAAAAACAAACTCCCCAGAAGGAAGGATCGAAAGCAGCAGGTGCATGATTGAAATCAAACTCTCAGGAGTGAATACATTCCATGCTGCTACTCTGCTAGCAGGGCTGAGGTGTCGCCAGGCAGTGCTGTGCCAGCCTTTCACACACCCTCAGGAACATTTCCAAAGGCATTCAGGAGAAAGAAGCAGTGGACACTGGACCAACCTGAAGCATTATAAAGACTGCACACAGCTGGCAAAGCAAAGAAAATCATAACATGGTATAGACCATTAACTGTTTCCTTCCACCTATTAAAGTGGAATTGCCTGATACTCCATTTGCACCAGCAAAAAAGATTCATTTATGTGCATGGGAAAAACAAAGTTTAATGTGAGTGAAGACATGACAAGAATTATTTAGAAATTAATTTTCAAAACCCACATCATATTCAGAAACAAACATACTCAAACGTCTGCTTTAAAATTTACCATTCAAAAAAATATTCTTTTACTTAGAGATATAAGTTCTTACATGAACTTATATGATAGAATGAAAAGAATAATAAAAAAAATTATATATATATATACATATATATATATATATATACACACACACATTGGGGTTTGCGGGGAAAAGCCTTGAAAATAAATAAAGCCTATTGTAAAATTGAGATGATCCATTACTATAAATAACTTAAAGAGACACGAAGAAGGAATTACGGCATGTCTGTTCTGCAGTCCTGATGGAAACTCAGCGCAGGAAATATATTATCCCAGTAACCTTAAGCACAGCTTGCAACGGTATCAATGGCAACCACTGTGCACTCCCCCTTATTTTCTATTACACACGAAGAACCTTGCTGTATTAAAAATACACAGACATAACATACATGCTCTTGTGGAATGGCTCAATACAGTTCCTAAATTCCTTCAACACTCAGGCTCCCTGTCATTAATTTTAATGCTTTAACATGCATAACACACATATATGCAAGTCAAGCCCTGTGTTAGAAGGCAAATGCTTCTCAGACTTAAATCCTAAAAGCAAAAGGTCTGTATTAATATCACCCAAGTCTGTGCAGAGGAGCGAGGGAAAAGAGGGAAAACAAACAAACAAACAAACCAACCAAAGCATGTATTTCCCTGGTACAGATCGAGCTATCCATCTAGCAGGCAGCTATTTGCTGCCGATTCACTGGTGAGCTTCAGCCCCACAAATACCTTCTGCATATGTGATTAAGCCACTATGCATAGTCAATCTCCCAGCCTCGGTGTCCATAAGAAAGAGCTGAGCTGGTACCCACCTAGAACGTAGTCGCTGCAGTCCAGCATTGCTGTGGTATCCTCTACAGGTTCAGATAGTCCAAGGAACGGGAGAATGGCAATTTCTATCAAATCTACACTACTGCTCTCACTGAACATGAAAGGGAGTGGGGAGGTGGGGGGAGAAATACAACTTCAGTTACACCATAGCAATCTTCAACTGAACAGGGAAACTTCAGTTGCT